GCACCTTGTGAGAACTGTGTGAGGAAAGGATCCCAGAGCTAAAACAACAGCTTCAAACCACCACCTTAGACCAGCTGTTCATACATCAGTTCTTTTCAGTGAGGGGATAAACTTTGGTCTTCCTAAAGTAGGAAAGGATGTCTGGATAAGAATGTCTAGTGATGCCTGGTTTTAACTTGGGAACTTAATTGTTTAAGGAACTTAAGACGACAACTTCCAAGTTTTCTTCCACAATATCCAATCCCAGACAGACTTAGAAAATGTGTGGAAAAAAAAGTTGACATCCTGACTTTCCAGCCATTACTTGCAGATGTAGGAAGTGTCTGATGGCGTGTGGGGTGTTTGCATCTTTTAATGCTCTTGTTTTTTGACAAAGCCTGGAGGTTCCTTCTCAGGTTCAGACCTTCATCTGGCTCGTTTTCTTCACAGGTAGCTGGGATAATGAGGGTCACTGCCAGCCCTGAAGGATGAAAGATGAGGGATGAGGCACCTTAGTACTCACGCCGCCGGACCTGCTGTGCACCAGGGGGGTGCGTCCTGCAGCCTCACTGGGTCACACACGGGGCCTTTGTGGTCCGGAGCAGAAGAAGAACTGAGGGATAACTCTGCCATCAGCCCAGCCTCTCTTGCTAGACTAGGCAGCCTTTGTTATGAGCAGGAAGCAGTCCAGCCTCTTAATATCACCCTGACAGAGCCAGCAGGCCAAGGGTCCAGGGGAGGAGAACCCAGGACCCCACCCACACGGGAGACAGAGGAGCATGTTCTGAGTTGGGTAGCTGGAGGAGAAAAGTCCAGGAAGGAAGAAAAGTCTGAAATTTGGCAGTTTGAGGGGAGAACGCTATCCTTTCCCCAGGAGGGCTTTTTCTTTAGGGGTTTGAGGTGTTCTGAGAGTCCCCAGCTAAATTGGAGTTCTAGTGCCAGAGCAGCTGGCAGCCCTGTCCTAAGGAGGATGAAGGGACCAGGACCTGGGTGTTCACCATGTACCTTTCAGGGGATCCTTGTTTTACCAGGAAGACGGGCTGTTGCCTAATTACCTCGCCCATGACCAGGGGTTCCTTGCACAGGAAACTTTTTTATATTGGCAGATGTCCCAGTGGCTCCCATCTGACCTGTGTCCAGGTTATGCCTGCTTGACGTCTGGCACTGGGAACCCAACCTTGTGTTCCCCAACACCAAGGAAAACTCAGGCTGGGCAGCCCTGGGTTCTTGGGATGGAAGGTGCAAATTCAGTCCACTGCCGTGATAGAAACAAGTTCAAACACGTATTACTTACAGATTCTGGGTGGGGAGGATGCCGTGAGTCAGGAGGGCGGTCTTCTCTCCCCCAGTCACTTTGAGTTTGCAGGCAAATGCCTGAATGGTTCATTGAAAGGAAGTGACAGAAAAAGCTGGACCTGGGTCTGCTGGGCTGGGGAGGTGCTCCTCAGTTCCTTCCTAGGGCCACCGATTTGATGTTTGATGCTGTAGCTTGTAGTGAGTTTTGTAATCAGGAAGTGTGAGTTCTCCAGCTTTGTTCTTTGGCAAAATTTGTTTTGCTTTTCGGGATCTTCCATATGAATGTTAGGATGCATTTTTCTATTTCTGCAAAATCCGTCATTGGGATTTTTTTTCCCCAGAGATGAAGTCTCACTACATTGCCCAGGCTGCTCTCAAATTCCTGGCTTCAAGTATTCCTCCCACCTCAGTCTCCCAAAGCGCTGGGATTACAGGCATGAGCCACCATGCCCAACCTGTCACTGGAATTTTGATGGGAATTGCATTAAATCTGTAGATTGTGTTGGTTAATATGGACATTTTAACTATTAAATTTTCCAGGCTATGAACATGGAATGTGTTAACATTTATTTAGTTCTTCTTTAATTTCTTACAGCAATGTTTTTTCGTTTTCTCTGTAAAAGTTTCTCACTTCTTTGGTTAAATTAATTCTTAAGTTGCTGCTGTTGTAAATGCAATTGCTCTCGTAGTTTCCCTTTCCTGCCTGCATAGTTGTTATTTAGAAATGAAGATAAGTTTTGTCCTTTGATTTTGTACCCTGCTACTTTGCTGAATTTATTTATTCTAACAGTTTTTTGTGGACTCTTTAGAGTTTTGTGCATATAAAATTATGCCATCTACAAACAGATAATTTTACTTCTTCCTTTCCAATTTAGATGCCTTTCATTTCTTTTTCTTGCCCGATTGCTCTGGCTAGAACTTCTAGTACCACGCTGAATAGCAGTGGTGAAACAGGCATCCTGCCCTTGTTCCTGATCTTACAGGGAAAGCTTCCAATCTTTCACCTTTGAGTATGAGAATGATGTTAACTGTGGGTTTTTCATGTGTGACTTTTATCATGTTGAGGAGGTGGTTTTCTTTCTTTCCTTCTTCCTTCCTTCCTTCCTTTCTTCCTTCTTTTCTTTCTTTCTCTTTTTCCCTTTCCTTTTTGTTTCTCTCTCTCTCTCTTTTTTTTTTTTTTTAAAATTTTTTGAGACAGGCTCTCCTCCTGTCACCCAGGCTGGAGTGCAGTGGTGTGGTCGCAGCCCACAGCCATGACTGCAGGGGCACACTACCATGCCCAGCTAACTTTTGTATGTCTTATAGAGACGGGCTTGTGATCCTCCCGCCTTGGCCTCCCAAAGTGTTGGACTTACAGGCAAGTACAGGTGTGAGCTACGGCACCCAACCTGATTTTCTTCTCTTCCTAGTTCATTAAGTGTTCTCACAAAAGGGTGTTAATTTTGTTAACCAGATGTGGTGCTAGCCAGGTGTGGTGGCACGCACCTGTAATTCCAGGTACCTGGGAGGCTGAGGCACAAGAATCGCTTGAGCCCAGGAGGCAGAGGCTGCAGTGAACCAAGATTGCACAATTGCACGCCAGCCTTGGGGACAGAGGGAAACTCGGTCTCAAAAAAAAAAAAGCATCTTTTTTGGATGCTTCATCTGTATTGAGATGATCATGTGACATTTCCCTTCTTTCTGTTAATGTGTGTTGTAACAGTAATTGCTTTTCAAATGTTAAAGTCTCCCTGCATCCCAGGAATAAATTCCATTTGATCATAGTGTATAATCCTTTTATTTTATATATGTGTTTTTGAGACAGGGTCTTGCTGTTGTTGCCCAGGCTGGAGTGCCATGGCTCAGTCACAGCTCACTGCTCAATCTCCTGGGCTCAAGTGATCCTTCCACCTCAGCCTCCCAAGTAGCTGGGACTATGGGAAGGAGCCACCACACCCAGCTAATCTTTTTCACATGCTGCTGAATTTTGTGTGCCAGTATCACGGTGAGGATTTTTACATCAGTGTTCTTATTGGTCTGGAGTTTTCCTGTAGTGTCTCTGTCTGGTTTTGGCATCAGGGTAATGCCAGCCTCATAAGAATAAGTCAGAGAATGTTCCCTCCTCTTTCATCTTTTTGAAAAGTTGAGAAGGATTGGTATTAGTTATTCAGGTGTTTGATAGAATTTAGTTACGGAGCCATCAGGTCCTGGGGTTTTCCATTTCAGAATATTGATTACTGCTTTAACCCCCTTAATAGTAATCGGTCTGTTCAGATTTTCTGTGTCTTTATGGCTTAGTCTTTGTAGATTTTGTGTTTCTAGGGATTTGTCCATTTCATCTGGGTGTTGGTATAGAGTTGCTCATACTCTCCTATAATCCTTTTTATTTCTGCAGAATCTATAGTAATGTCCCTACTTTCCTATCTTATTTTAGTAATTTGTGTCGTCTCTTTTTTTTCTAGTTAATCTGCTAAACGTCTGTCAGTTTTGTTGATCTTTTTAGAGAACCAACTTGTGGTTTTCCTGATTTTCTCTGTTGTTTTGCAGTTCTCTGTTTTGTTCATCTCTCCTCTAATCTTCGTTTCCTCCTGCTGTATTTGGGTTTGGTTTGTTCTCATAGTCATAAATTCCCCCTCAGCACTGCTCGCGCTGCTCCTGTAAGTCTTGGCGTGTTCTGTTTTTGTTTTCATTCATCTCTTAAGTATTTTCTAGTTTTTCTTATGGTTTCTTCTTTTGCTTTAATTCCTATATTTGCTCTTTTGCACATAATGTTTTTTCTTAGCCACTTCTAAGATTCTCTCTTCGATCACTGGCGCTAATAGATGCGGTTTACGGTGTGTGGTGGTTCACATTCTTTTCTTCCTGTTCTCGTGCTTGGGGATCATTGGGATTCTTAGATATGTGGGCCTGAGTTTTCTTCAGATTTGGAAATTTTCAGCCACCATGTGTTCAGATGAACTTTCTGCCCTCCCACTTACTGATTCCAGGCATGCTGCTGCACGTTTCCCCCCGGCTCAGTCATGCACAGCTCTCCTTCCTCCAGTCCTTTCTGTGTTAAATTTTGAGTCGTTTGCATTGCTCTATTTTTTTCTTTGCAATGTGTCCTCTATCCAGTATGTTTGTTTTTAATCAGACATTGTAGTTGTCATTGCTACAAGTCCCATGTTGGCATGTCCCTGCTCCATGAGCTCCCAAGTCTATGCCTCCCCTGTACCTACTTCACCCACCTCCCCCCATCGATGCCCCCCCTTTTCCTCCTCCATGCTCCCCCTAGTCTCTGCCTCCCCTATTTCTGCTCCACACATCCTCCCAGTCTCTGCCACCCCTATTTCTGTTCCATGCACCCAGCCTATGCCTCTCCTTCCCTGCTCCTCATGCCCAGTCTCTCTGCTATCTGGCTGTCCGTCCTGCAGTCTTAACAGCTGTTCCCATGTCCTTGCTACTAATTAACTCTGTTTGCGTTATTCTTGATTGTGTTTGTATCAATAAATTTTTCTCCTCATTGTGGGTTGTAGTTTTCTGCTTCTTTCCATGCCTGGTAATCTTGTTTGGATGCCAAACATTCTGAATTTTGCTGTGTTTTGTGTTGGATGCTTTTCTTTTTTTAAAGAAATTTTCAGGCCGGGCGCGGTGGCTCACGCCTATAATCCCAGCACTTTGGGAGGTGGGTGGATCACGAGGTCAAGAGATCGAGACCATCCCTGTCACAGCCCTGGTGGGATTGCTGTCCTGTGGACACTCACTGGATGTGTGGGGGCAGCCGGGATGACCCAAGCCTGACTCAGCACCCACAGAGGTACCCGCTCCGCTGGGGAAGCTGCCGTCCTGCCTGCGGCGGTGATAATGGAGTGCTGCGGGATGTCTGGCAGAGGCTCTATGTTCAGGCCTCCTGCTGTGTCTCGGCAGATGATAAACATGCTGAAGTGAAAGAAAATCGAGAACCGGCTTTGGAGAGAATAGAGGACAGCCACGATGTGATGGTGCATCCCCTGCGTGCGTCCTGATCAGCCTTGGCCTCTCCACGGCTTCTCACACCATCACCCTGCTCTGTGCCCACTTGCCCATGTCCTGGGGGATGGCAGCCTGGTGGGGGCAAAACCCCAGTCACAGCAGGGCCCCTTGACCTGGGCTGGGGCGAGCCCTTCTGTGCTGGATGAGCTGCTGTGCAGGGGGCAGACCTGGAGCACCCAGCTCCCTCTACCCACACTGGGCTGGCTTGCCTTGTGCTCGTGGAAGCTGAGGGCCTTCCCGGCGTGTGTGTTGCAGGCCAGGCCTGGCCAGCAAGTGATCTGGGGTCTCCAGCAACACAGCAGTGTGCCCTCCCACCTCCCTAGCCCTGTCTGGTTCCTCGGGGACACCCCACGCTCCCCCATAAAGAGGGTGAAGGAGAAACCAGAGTGGGAGCTGGGATTTGTAGTGCTTACAATTTAAAAGATCAAATATCCAGGGTACGTAAAGAACTCACAAATCAGTAATGAAAAGGCAAAATGGGGCCGGGCGCGGTGGCTCATGCCTATAATCCCAGCACTATGGGAGGCCGAGGCAGGTGGATCACGAGGTCAAGAGATCGAGACCATCCTGGCCAACAAGGTGAAACCCCGTCTCTACTAAAAATACAAAAATTAGCTGGGCGTGGTGGTGCACGCCTGTAGTCCCAGCTACTCAGGAGGCTGAGGCAGGAGAATTACTTGAACCCAGGAGGCGGAGGTTGCGGTGAGCTGAGATTGCGCCATTGCACTCCAGTCTGGGTAGCAACAGTGAAACTCTGTCTCAGAAAAAAAAAAAAAAAAAAAAAGGCAAAATGGGCACAGACTTGATCGGGAGCCTCCCACGAGGCCAGTGAGCTCACTCTTCCAAGTTCCTGGAGTCAGTGGCCTTCCCACAGATCCCATAAGTGCTCCAGCGGCTCTGCAGGTCCCGGGAAAGAACATTCCTCACTGCTCCGGAGGCTGGAGGCTGGAGGCTGGAGGCTGGAGGCTGGGTCAGGGGCAGCATGGCTGGGCTGGTGAGGGCGCCCTGCTTCACAGACAGCTGACTTCTTTCTGCTTCCTCACACAGGGGCAAGGGTTTTTCTGGGGCCACTTTATAAGGGCCTCATGCTCACCACCTAATCCTAGAGCCCTGCCTCCTATGCCATCGCCTGGGGGTGAGGACTGCAGCACATGCATTTCGGAGGGATGGAAACATTCTGCTCACTAGGTGTGGAGGAGAGAGATGCAGGTGGCAGTTACCTGATGGGGGTGACTGCGGGACTTTGGTTCTGTCGATCATGCTGTTTCTCACCCCAGGATACAGTGGTTAGTGGTTAGCGGTTAGTATGATATCATCTACACTTTAATATTTTTCTTTTTTTTTTTTTGAGACAGAGTTTCGCTCTTGTTACCCAGACAGGAGTGCAGAGGCTCGATCTCAGCTCACTGCAACCTCTGCCTCCCAGGTTCAAGTGATTCTCCTGCCTCAGCTTCCCGAGTAGCTGGGATTACAGGCGCACACCACCACACCTGGCTAATTTTCGTATTTTTAATAGAGACGGGTTTTCACCTGTTGGCCAGGCTGGTCTTGAACTCCTGACCTCGTGATCCACCAGCCTTGACCTCCCAAAGTTCTGGGATTACAGGTGTGAGCCACCAGGCCCAGCCTTACACTTTTATATTTCTAAGACAATTCACAACATATGTTAAAAAACAAGACTTCTATCTGAAAATGACAAGGAAAGTGACAGATGCCACTCCAAGGGTAGGAACAGGAGGTCAGACCATGAGGGAAGCGCAGAGGGCCTGGGGCCCAGCTCCGTCCCTGGGGTCTGCACAGAGCAGGGTGGAGGGAAGCCCAGCCTGTACTCACAGGGCACCGTGTGGACCCTTCCGCCTTGTGGAATGTCACATGTGGGATTCTGCCCATGCAGGTAAATGTGCATGTCTGTGTGTCCACACGCACCTGTCTGCAGAAACCAACTCAGATGGGTGCTCCCCAAGGTGTCAGGTCAGAGATGATCTCTTGGGGAGGATTTTGAAGAATGTTTTCCTTTCTTGAATCTCTTTGTATGATTAGAATTCTTTTCAATTCTTTTTTCTTCTTCTTCTTCTTCTTCTTCTTCTTTTTTTTTTTTTTTTTTTTCAGACAGAGTCTCTATTGCCCAGGCTGGAGTGCAGTGGAGCAATCTCAGCTCACTGTAACCTCTGCCTCCTGGGCTCAAGTGATTCTGCTGCCTCAGCCTCCTGAGTAGCTGGGACTGCAGGTGCACACCACCATGCCCAGCTAATTTTTGCACTTTCAGTAGAGACAGGGTTTCACCATGTTGGCCAGATGGTCTCAATCTCTTGACCTTGTGATCCACCCGCCTCAGGCTCCCAAAGTGCTGAGATTACAGGCCTGTGCCATCACACCCAGCCTGGTTGGAATTTTGACTCAACAAGGGCCATAGTTGGAAACAGGAAAGTACCAACAGGATGTCACAGCTATCAGCAGGGCAGGATCAGAGGCCGGTACCTGGGGCTCAGGTGGGGCTCTGCGGGTGGTGCAGGCCTGGGGACCTCCATCCCGGGGACTGTGAGCTCCTGGATATGAAGTGTTGTGTATTCTGCCTTGGCCAGTGGCTCGTCCCCACCCCAAGGAGACCCCATGTGGAGGGCTCAGGCCCCACCTGCAGCTCCCACATCAGGGCTGGCTCCCCAGAGCACCAGGCCCCTGAGTGGAACCCTGTGTGGTCCTGGCTGCACCCCACGCCCCGTGTGCAGGAGCACAGCTGCAAGCCTCACGCCACGCATAATTTATCCTCTGATGTTTGCCTCGCTCCGTCACGTCCCGGCTGGCGTTAACCTTGACCGCTGGCTATCAACAAAAACTTTCTTCTTGCTAGTCTAGGTTGGTAAAAAACGAGATGCCCTACCTCCTCTGGACCATCAAGAGGGACAACACTGACTATCACAACCTGACCTGTGACCAGATGCTGAACCACTATGCCAAGACTGCCTCCTTCACCACCAAAGTGAGCCGCTGCTGAGGGTGGCGGGGGGCTGGCAGGAGCCAGCAAGGGTGGGGGAATGGGCCTCTGCAGCTACTAGGGACCCTTGGTGGTTGGTCAGTGGCCATGGGTAGCCATAGGCGGCCACCACTCACCTCCTGGATGCCTCCCGGGACTCCTGGTCTAACGCCATTGCCAGAATCACTCAGTGCCCACCCCACCCCTAGCACCTCTGGGCCCTTTGCTCTGTGTCTCTGGGTGAATCTGGGGCCATAGAAGCCCCCTCCTCGGGGCACAGAGGCCAAGCCAAAGATGGGGCTGAGTGGGAGCTGCCACTGGGCTTTGGGCCCTGAAGGGGCTGTGGGTCCCTAGCGGCAAGGGTGAGACCCTCCGCTGCAGGGGTCCCTGACTGGGAATGTACGTCACTGGGCACTTTCCCGCCTCCCCCGTCCCTGGCCCTGCACAAGGCAGCTGCCACACCTTTCCACCAAGGCCCAAGGTTGGGGCCTGGCCAGGATGCAGGGTGTGGGGACCCTGCTGAGGGAGGGGTAGGGCAGAGGGGCTTCCCTGGCACAGGGGCCCCCTCAGCAGGCCAGGTGTGGCTGCCTCAGCATAGTGTATGGGGCAGGGGCGGGGGATAAGGTGCCCTTCCGCACCTGCCATCCCGAGGCCTCCTCCGGGTCAGGCCAGGGCTGGCACTGCTGGTGAAAACATGGCTCCTGCAAAGACCCTGTGTGCAGAACCTGGCCTGGGGCCCTGAGGGGCTGAGAGACTGAGGACAGGGAGGGAGAGGGGTCTGCTCTAGGGGTGCCCTATGGTGCCCGGTGGTCAGGTGAGTCTGAGGTGGACGGTGGGTCCTGCCTTTCGAGTAAAGCGGAGTGGAGCTTCCCCTCAGGCCTGACACGCCGCTGTCTGGAGATCGGGCTGGGCCTGAACATGCGGAGCCTGCCCTGGTAGGTCCCGGTGAACCCCGACTCCTTCTTCCCACACTGCTACAGCCTCTGCACCGACAGCGAGCAGCAGGAGTTCCTGGGTAAGTGACGCAGCCCCGGGGCCCAGCCAGCACCCCAGCTGAGCACCTCTGGTCCCCTGGCAAGGGCTCATCTGGAAACTTCCGTGGGCAACCTCGGAAGGGGGAGGGGCACTGCGGCTGTGGAGCGGGTGTTGGTCAGGGTGGGCGGGGGAGGCCCTGATGGCTTGTGCCAAAAAATATATACAGATGGAAGACAAGCATATGAACACATGCTCAACATCAAATGCCACTGTGGAATCGCAAATCACAACAAAATGAGGCACTACAACAGATCCAGGAGAATGGTACAAACAGAACACTGACAACATCAAATGCTGGTGAGGACGTGGAGGACAGGAACTCTCCCTCGTTGCTCGTGGAAATGCAAAACGGTGCACCTACTTTGGAAGACATTCTGGCAGTTTCTTACAAAACTAAACATACTCTTGCCACACCAACCACTAAGTACACTCCTTGGTATTTGCCCAAAGGAGGTCACAATTTATGGCCACACAAAGACCTGCACACAGATGTTTATGGAAACATTATTCATGATTGTCAAAACCTGGAAGTGACCAAGATGTCTTTCAGTAGATGAACAGATAAATAAACAGTGGTGGATCCAGAGGTGGAATATTACACAGCACTAAAAAGAAATGAGCTATCAAGCCGTGAAAAGACTTGGAAGAATCTTAAATGCATATCACTAAGTTAAAGAAGCCCATCTGAAAAGGCTCCATGCTACGTGGTTCTAGCCACATGGCATTCTAGAAAAGGCAAAACCATGGAGACAGTAAAAGGATCAGTGGTAGCCAGCAGCTTGGGGTGGGGTTGGGGGCATGAGGAGACAGAGCACAGAGAGTTTTGGGGCTGGGGATCTTCTCTGTCTGATACTGGAATGGTGGATACATGTCATCATACATTTGTCCAAACCTGCAGAATGTATAAAACCATTTGGGTTACCATGATGTGTCAATGTAAGTTCATCAACTGTGTTAAAATTATTAGTTAGGCCGGGTACAGTGGCTCAAGCCTGTAATCCCAGCACTGTGGGAGGCCAAGGTGAATGGATCACTTGAGGTCAGGAGTTCGAGATTAGCCTGGCCAACATGGTGAAACCCCATCTCTACTAAAAATACAAAACATTAGCCAGGTGGGATGTTGTGTGCCTGTAATCCCAGCTACTCAGGAGGCTGAGGCAGGAGAATCACTTGAACCAGGGAGGCAGAGGTTGCGGTGGGCCAAGATCACACCACTGCACTCCACCTGGGTGACAGACTGAGACTTCATCTCAAAAGAAAAACAGAATCGTTAATTAGGAGGCCATCGGACTGAGGTGGCCCAAGTGACCTCGTGTCCAACATAAGCAAGCCAAAACCTAACTCAGAATTGAAAGCAAAACCTGAGCACAGCCAGTCGCAGGCAGCCAGCTGTGCAAAGTTCCCACTCAGCACAGATGAGGCCACTGCCCCAGCGTCCAGCAATCGGGATTTGTTTCCTCCGCTTCCATGTTTACCTAGAAGAGCTTTTCCCTTGGTGGAGCCCTGCAGCCATCTGACTGGTACAGATCACTGTTGCTCAAATACACACTAAGAGTCTAATGCACTCATGTGCATCTGTCAGCAGTTGCAGTAAAGGCTAACATGGTGAAACTCTGTCTCTACTAAAAATACAAAATTAACTAGGTGTGTTGGTGGGCACTTGTAATCCCAGCTACTTGAGAGGCTGAGGCACAAGAATTGCTTGAACCTGGAAGGTGGAGGTTGCAGTGAGCCAAGATCTTGCCATTGCACTCCAGCCTGGGCAACAAGTGCAAAACTCTGGCTCAAAAAAATACAAATACAAATAAAAAATAAAATTATGTTTTCTTATTGACTTTCAAGAGTTCTCTGCATACTCTGGATAACATTCCTTTATTAGATGTGTGCGAATATTTCCTCCCAATCTATGGCTTGTCTTCTCACTGTCCTTTACAGAGCAGAAGCTTTTCATTTTAATGAAGTTGAACTTATCAGTAATTGCTACTGTGGGGCACTGAGAGTCAGGTGGCAGGGTCCCCCTATTTGTTTGGGGAGGTGGTACTCACGGAGCCAGTGGAGGATGGGGCCGTTCAGGGAGGAGAAAGTCACCTGCACAGACGCAGGTGTGGCATCCAGGGTGGCTGCCCAGAGAAGCTTTGTAGGGTGTTGGGGTGCCTGCCTGGGTATCGGGGCACAGAGGGAGTGGAGCTGCCTTTGTCCATGGCTTTAGGCTTCACTCCACGAGGTGGGCAGGGCTGCTTCCTTGTGGGGGTCCACACTCCATGTGCCTGTGTTTGGGTTTCAGATGCTGAAAATGCTGAGGCAAAGCTCAGGGGCCTTCCCTGGAAGCTTGTGGACGTCACATGCAAGGTGTGCCAGACCTACCTGGGGAAACTGGAGCATGAGGACATCGACATGGCAGAGGACACCATGGAGGACCTCACCGAGGCCGAGTGGGAGGACCTGACCCAGCAGTACTACGCCCTCATTCAGTGAGACTTGGGCAGGCCCTGGGCTCACAGAGCCCGAAGTATAGCCTCCCTCAGCACGCACCAGAGCCGGCGAGTGGGGATTGCAGGAGCTGCAGGGGCTGTGCGGCCTCTGGGAACTGGGTCACCTGTCTGGGCTTTAACTTACCTGTGGTGTATTCTTGTTGGGTATTGGGGTGTCCGGATGTTGGGGCTTCTGTCTGGGTGTCGAGATGCTTGTTGGGTATTGAGGCACTTGTCTGGAGTCTGGGATGCTTGTTGGGTATTGGGGTGTTTGTCTGGATGTTGGGGCGCCTTACGGGTATCAGGGTGCCTAGGCCCTCTGTTGCCTGTCCCACCAGGCCCCTGGTGACTGTTGAGAGGATGTTACCCCCCTTGGGGTGCCTTTGGGGAGTAACATTGTCTTGTGCATCTTCAAAATCCAGAAGGGCGTGATGTCATTTGAGCCCCCCACAGTCTGAGACAGGCAGGTGGGGTTTGTCTGTTTCACAGCTGGGACACCTGCCTCAGTCTTGGCCATTGGCAAATGACTGGCAGAAGTGCGCTTGGGCCCAGAGCTCCCGGCTCGCCAGCCTCATTACCATTCACTGCTCCAGGGGTCCAAAGGCTGACCCTGGCCTTCCTGCCCCTGCTGAGGGCCGAGTTCTTCCCAGAGCCAGAAGTCCAGCACTCCCTTGACAGCAGCCACCAGAGAGAGGAACTGGGCAGAGGTGGCCCTGGCACCCCAGAAGCATGAGCAGCTGCCACCAGGGGTGAGTCTATGAGGTCTGTTCATGCTGACACACGTGGGGTCAGTGAGGTCCATCCACACTGGCACACGTGGGATCTGTGAGGTCCATCCACACTGGCGCATGTGAGGTTGGTGAGGTCCATCCACACCAGCACACATGGGATCTGTGAGGTCCATCCACGCTGGCACATGTGGGATCTATGAGGTCCGTCCACACTGGCACATGTGGGATCTGTGAGGTCCATCCACCCTGGCACATGTGGGATCTGTGAGGTCCATCCACACTGGCACATGTGAGGTTGGTGAGGTCCGTCCATGCCAGCACATGTGGGATCTGTGAGGTCCATCCACGCCGGCACATGTGGGATCTATGTGGTCTGTCCACATCGGCACACGTGGGATCTGTGAGGCCTATCCACACTGGCACATGTGAGGTTGGTGAGGTCCATCCACACCAGCACACATGGGATCTGTGAGGTCCATCCATGCCAGCACATGGGGGATCTATGAGGTCCGTCCACACCAGCACACGTGGAATCTGTGAGGTCCATCCACGCTGGCACACGTAGGATCTGTAATGTCTCTCCACGTTGGCACACATGGGGTCTTTGAGGTCTGTCTATGCTGGCACATGTGGGATCTGTGAGGTCTGTCCATGCTGGTGCATGTGGGGTCAGTGAGGTCAGTCCACACTGGCACACATGGGATCTGTGAGGCCCGTCCACATCAACACACGTGGGATCTGTGAGGTCCATCCACGCTGGTGCATGTGGGGTCGGTGAGGTCTGTCCACACTGGCATACACAGGATCTGTGAGGTCCATCCATGCCAGCACACGTGGGCTCTGTGAGGTCCGTCCATGCTGGCACATGTGGGATCTGTGAGTTCCATCCACACTGGCACACGTGGGGTCGGTGAGGTCGGTCCACACTGGCACACGTGGGATCTGTGAGGTCCGTCCATGCCAGCACATGTGGGATCTATGAGGTCTGTCCATCCCAGCACATGTGAGGTTGGTGAGGTCAAAAAGAAAGCTATATGATCATCTCAAAAGATGCAAAAATTGGTGAAACTTAATACCTGTTCTTGTAAATTTGTATAGCAAACTAGGAAATGAAAAAACTTTTGTTTTTGAGATGGGGTCTCATTCTGTCCACCTAGGCTAGAGTGCAGTGGCATAATCATAGCTCACTGCCACCTCAAACTCCTGGGTTCAGGCAATCTTTCCACCTCCGCTTCTCAAGTAGCTGGGACTCCAGGCACATGCCACCACACTGGCTAATTTTTTAATTTTTTTGTATTTATACCAGAGACGGGGTTTCACCATGTTGACCAGGATGGTCTCGATCTCTTGACTTCGTGATCCACCCGCCTCAGCCTCCCAAAGTGCTGGGATTACAGGCGTGAGCCACCGCGCCCGGCCAAGATTCCATGATATTTCTATGTTCTAGCAGCAATTGTGAAATGAAATTCTAAAAACACAATACACTGACATCAAATAACAACAAACCTCTAGAAAAAAATATGACAAAATACATTCAAGACCCTAAATTGAAAGTTATACAATTAAAGAGATAGTAAATACCTAACATGTGTGTGAGCATGTGTATACCATGTTAATAAATCAGAAGACTCAATGGTGTAGAGATGCTTGGTTTTCTCAGACTATCAATAGAGTCAATGTAATCCCACCAGAATCCTGAGAGGTATTTTTTTTTGTAGGGGTGGGGTAGGGCAGGAAAAACTAATGAACTGATTTATATAGAAATATGAATAATTTAAGAAAAGCCAAAACAGACTTGATAAAGAAAAAATTATAGGACTTGTGCTCCAAATTTCAAGACTTACTCTAGATTTATGATAGTTAAAATGTGATATTGGGATAGGATCTAGGCTGGGCGAGGTGGCTCACGCCTGTAATCCCAGCACTTTGGGAGGCTGAGTGGGTGGATCACGAGGTCAGGAGATTGAGACCATCCTGACCAACACGGTGAAACCCTGTCTCTACCAAAAATACGAAAATTAACCAGGTGTGGTAGTGGGCACTTGTAATCCCAGCCTTGGAAGGCTGAGGCAGGAGAATTGCTTGAACTGGGAGGTGAAGTTTGCAGTGAGATGAGATCGCACCACTGCACTCCTGCCTGGGAGACAGAGTGAGACTTTGTCTCAAAAAAAAAAAAAAAACTAAAAAAAAGAAAGAAAAAGATGCCAGGCACAAAGGAGCACAGTGTGTGGTTTCACCAACAGGAAGTTCAAGAACAGGCTAGCCCCGTCCAGTGATGGTCAGCATGGCCACTGGTCTCCGCTGCCTCTTGAGGAGCAGAGGCACTCCTGTCTCGGTCCGGGGACCGGTGCACGCGCGTACATGGATGTACACATTGTGCAATTTGAACTTTTCGAGTATGGCAGGATGCACTGCACTGCATTTTCTTAGACCTGAATTAAAAGGAAGTCCCCAGGGTGACCACCAGGTGACAGCACCGGACCCCCACGTGTCCCTGTGGCTGACTCATCCCAAACCACATCACGAGGGTGTGTGTGTGGGTGTCCACGGGAGCTTCTCAGCTGCTGCCGGAGAGGCTCTCTCTGGGAGCCCCTGGTGCCTCAGGCCTGTCAGTCCTCACCTACTGGGCTCAGGGGATCCCTGGCAGGTGTGCCCCAGGGTCAGGACTCAGCCGTGGCTGTGCCCTGCTCACTGCCAGCATCTGGAGGCCCAGCTTGTTCTCTGTCGAGTCTGGGACACACATTTCATGGTTTCTGGGTGTTGCCAGCTCCTGCGTGGTGCTCTGCTGGGCTCGTGAGCAGCTCTAACCTTCACTGCTCTCAACCTCACCGCAAAGCAGGGGCAACACAGCAGTGCGTGCACCTGTGGGGAGGGTGGTCCTGCTCAAATCCCACCTCCCAGTGTAAGGGCATCCCTGGCTGGGGGCTGGGCTGTCCTGGGAATGCCGTGAGGGATTCCTTCCCATGGGATGGCCACAGCTGTCTTCCTCCTGAGCAAGTCACTGCAGCCCTGGGTCACTGGAAGCTTGCTGGTCCCATGGGCGGCGTTGGTTGTAACCAGCATGGTGAAAGTCCATGGTGACCCCTCCTATTTACATGCGATTGTTTTGGGCCGGCCCATGCAGCAAGGACGGGGCTATTTCAGGGGTGCAGGGTCGGGGGGCTGGCTGCACCTGGTTTGCTTCATGTCCCCACCACAGCGGAGGGTCCTGTTCCCATCCTGGGGCCAGGAGTGCATGTCGCTCACCAGGGAGGAGGTGTATTGGCTGGTGAGAGCTGGGAGGTGCTGCCCACCTGAGGTTACCGTCACTCCTTTCTGGGAGGGGCCTGTCACACAGCTCCACAGTGCGGGGCCCTTCCCATGTTGTCAGGGACACCCCAGCCTCACTTCTCCCTTCAAGCCGCCCCAGCAGGTGTGAATGGAGCCCCACCTCAGCTCAGACCAGCCAGGAGAGTCACGGCTGGTGTCCTTGGAGACCCACTGGCCCTGCTCCTGTGCCCCAGCTGCCTCGTCAGGATGTTGGAGTAGGGGGCTCCACGCTGGGCCTTCTTCTTTGCAGCCCTGAGTCTGCCCACACAGGATGGGTCCAATGGGCCCTGGGGTGGCTGCTGGCACCGCATGGCTTCCGCTCTACCGTCCGGGCAGCAGGAGTGCACTCCTGAGCTCTAAACCCGATCAAATAGCTCTCCTTACCTGCTCCGTTTTCCCTGTAGTTATAACTTCTGGAGTCTAGCCCATGACTGCAAAGCCACCAACAGGGTCTTGAGTCAGACTGATGTTGAGCTCACAGGACATGGCGCTGGCAGCTGGCGGGGACACAGGAGGCCTGCACAGGCTGGCTACTTTCCAACCAGGGGATGAGCCCAGGCACCACCAACCACAGGTGGAACTTGGGCATGGCTGCGTCTCCCCCCACCTGCTTCCCACCATTTCCACCCAGGCAGGGTGCTGCTTGGGGCCCATGGCCAGTTCAGACCCACACACTGGGGTCCCCGCATGGCCCTTCACAAGGCCCTTGCCTGGTGTGGCCTCACAGGGTTGAGTTTCCAGGTGTCTGTCCTATTAGCAGAACATCCTGGGCGACCCCCAGCCTCGAACCATCCCAGAGTGGAGCCTGCTTGGTGGGTGAGGCGGGCCCCAGCCTCAGAGTTTCATGCACTTTCTGGATCTTGCTTTGTAGTGGTGACGCTTTCATCTCCAATTCAAGAAATTACTTTCCGCAGTGCCAGGCTCTACTGAATAAAATCACGTCCGTGAACCCTCAGACGGATATTGACGGGCTGCAGAACATCTGGATTATGAAGCCTGCAGCCGAGTCCTGGGGCCGAAGTGAGTTCGCTGGTGTGGGTGCCACCTGGACCGCATTCACAGCTACTGATGGCCGCACTTGATGCCAGCTGCCATGAGCGAGGGACAGTCTCAGGCCCACGTACCATGGGGAAGGAAGTGTGGGGGCAGAATGCCGAGGCAGCATGGGGCTTGGTCTTATGGGCACTGGAGCAGTCTTGGACGAAGAGGCGTCTTCACAGCTTGTGTTCAATTCACAAGGCTGGGTTCTGGTTGACTAATTAAGATTCCCTCCTTTGTATTCACAAACTGGTCTATGGTTTTCTTTTTATTATTTTTTTTAAATTCAAGATGGAGTTTCACTTTTGTTGCCCAGGCTGGAGGGCAGTGGCGCGATCTCGCCTCACTGCAACCTCCACCTCTCAGGTTCAAACAATTCTCCTGCCTCAGCCTCCCGAGTAGCTGGGACTACAGGCGCCCACCACACCCAGCTAATTTTTTGTATTTTTAGTAGATATGAAGTTTCACCATGTTGGCCAGGCTGGTCTCGAACTCCTGACCTCAAGTGATTCACCTGCTCGGCCTCTCAAAGTGCTGGGATGACAGGCACAAGCCCCTACACCCAGCCTGTGGTTTTCGTTTTAATATTGCCATGATTGCCCTCTTGGTATCACGAGTATGCTAGCCTCTAAAATGGATGAAGGACTTTCATCCCAATTAACAGTGGAATTCCTAGTCCTTGAATTTATTATAAAATTCACCTGTAAATACCAGACTCTAGGAGATAGCTTCTTAACACCTTTTATATTTTGTCTGTGGTTTTCTACATCTTCTTGAATGTAGCTGTGACTATGTTCTCTTTTCTATTCCCACTGGTGAGTACCATGTGTCCTATTAAAAAACAAAACAAAACAGGACTTCCTAGTGGTCTATTCTTCTTCCTGTTTTCAAAGAACCAACATCTGGTTGCATTTTTCAATTTTCCTGAGAGACTTTCCTCCCTTATGTCTAACTTAGATGCTAAGTTCATTTATTTTCATTTCTTATGCAATAATAGAAGCTTTAAGGCTATGAAATTTCCTCTGAATGTGGCTTACGCTGCATCATCTTATTTATGTTACATAATGTTCATTTTCCTTCATATCTAAATAGACGTTATTTTAGCTTGGTTTTGTCTGCCTCGAGTTATTTTGAAGAGTTTTCTTTTTTTATTCACAAGTGGGTCATTTTTATGTGATTTTTTTACTATTACTAATTTTTAAACTTTGTTGAGACAGGGCCTTACTCTGTAGCCCAGGCTGGAGTGCAGAGGTGCGATCACAGCTCACTGTAGCCTCAACCTCACCAGGCCCAAGTGATCCTCCCACCTCAGCCTCCTGAGTAACTGGGACTATAGGTATGTACCACCATACCCAGTTAATTTTTTTTTTTTTTTTTTTTTTTGTAGAGATGTGGTTTTGGCATGTTACCCAGGCTGTTTTGTGTGATTTTTTAAAAATCTTGGCCTGGTGCAGTGGCTCACGCCTGTAATCCCAGCACTTGGGAGGCCAAGGAGGGTGGATCCCCTGAGGTCAGGAGTTCAAGACCAGACTGACCAACATGGAGAAACTCCGTCTCTACTAAAAATACAAAATTAGCTGGGCATGGTGGTGAGTGGTTGAGGCCAGAGAATCGCTTGAACCCTGGAGGTGGAGGTTGCTGTGAGCCGAGATTGCGCCATTGCACTCTAGCTTGGGAAGCAAGAGTGGAACTCTGTCTCAAAAAAAGTCTTTATTAAGTTGTGATTTTCTTACATTCAATCTAAAGCCTCTTTCATCCTGCCACATGCCCTTTTCTGGGCGTGTGTGTCCTGCACTCCCCTGGCATCCTGCAGGCTTTCATCTGGCTTCCCACGAGTGCCCACCCTGCCTGGCCACGTGTGGGGTGCTCTCCCCAGGCTATGTCCAAAGCACTCACCATCCCCATCTGCAGCTGTCCATCAGGCTAGACTCTCCACCCACTGTAGACACCTCCATCCCCAGGGACGCTTGGTGGACACCCCAAACCCACCTGCTCCAAACCAAATGCACCTCGTGCTGCCCCATCACTAGCTGTGCCTCCCCGGGTCCCGTTGGGTCCCACGTGCTGGCCCAGAGCGACGTCTCTGGTTTGTGGCTGTGTCCCAAGCTTCATCTGAGGATGGCAAGGTCTCAGCCTCCCAAAACTGAAGAAGCAAAGTCTGGTATTTTTGCAGGGAAATCTTGCCTCCATATTGTTCTGCTTTGTGCCTCTGCACATGGAGCTCCCCTGCGCTCCGTATTAGTCAGAATGAACCCCATGGTGCCACGTAACGAGCAGTAGCAGATACATCCGGGGCTCTTGCAAAAACCAGCTCCTCTTTCATGCATGCCTGTTGTCCATCATGGGCTGGCATGGGAAGGTGGCAGGGATGCTCCTCCCATCGAAGCCCCTGTCTTGTGACCCCAGTTCCCTTGAGGCTTCAGGCTATTGCAGCAGAGAAAGAGCAGCTGGCAGGAAGTGCTGCAGCTGTCTGCAGCTGATCTCCACAAGTTGTGTGGCCTAACTTGGGGGTGATGGTGGGAAATTGGAAAACCCACCTGCTCAAGAGGACCAGTGGCCCCCACCCTGCCCTTCCTACTGTTACCCTCACAGGACTCCAAGACCCTGAGTGCTGCCCCTCACAGCCCTCAGGAGACCCCACCGCCCAGCCTGGTGGCTGCTCTCAGGTCCTTAGATTGCCCCGCTCCCTGTTCACACCAAACCCCAGAGTGTGGCCTAGGGTGTACTGACTCCCTTTTATGTACTTACTTACCAAGATGGAGTCCCAGGCTGGAGTGCAGTGGTGCAATCTTAGCTCACTGCAACCTCTGCCTCCTGGGTTTAAGCAATTTTGCTGCCTCAGCCTCCTGAGTAGCTGGGAATGCTACCCAGCTAATTTTGGGCATGTTTTGGCAAAATCAGGTGGCGCACACTGTAATCCCAGCTACTTGGGAGGCTGAGGCAGGAGATTTTTGTTTTAGTAGAGATGGGGTTTTGCCCGTTGGCCAGGCTGGTCTCCAACTCCCAACCTCAAATGATCCACCCACCTTGGCCTTACAAAGTGCTGGGATTACAGGTGTGTGCCACCACACCCATCCTGCTGGCTCCCTTTTAAAAATGACTCTGACCCTGCCCCTTCACTGATCTGTGTCCCCTCAGAGTCCTGGGGGCTGGTTCTGTTGGGGGAGAGCTTGGGGAAGACTGGCACTGGCTTCCGCCTCATCTGTGAGTGCTAGGCCTTCCCTGCCCCCCGGCCATGCTGCCTACTGGCCCTGGACAAAGCTAGTGCAGGTCTCAGGGCCAGGCTGCGGCCCTGACCCTGGGCTCAGGAGCTGCACAGTGGCTGTGCAGGCTGGGCTGAGCGGTGGCCTCTTGCAGACATAGTGTGCATTGACCGTCTGGAGAAGATCCTCAAGCTGGTGGCTGCAGAGCACCCTCCTTCCAGGGACAACAAGTAGGTGGTCCAGAAGTACATTGAGACACCAATGCTCATCTATGACACCAAGTTTGACATCAGGCAGTGGTTCCTCGTCACGGACTGGAACCCCCTGACCATCTGGTTCTACAAGGAGAGTTACCTGCGGTTCTCAACACAGCGCTTCTCCCTGGACAAGCTGGACGGGTCAGTGCAGAGGACGAGCTAGACACCTTGGGCCAGGAAATGGGCTGCTGCCCTCACCCCTGGAGTAGCCACAGTGAGAAGCGGCCCCGGCAGGGCCCCCTCACTGCCACCTGCCACCACGAGAGGCACAGGTGGGGAAACTGAGGCTTGGGAGGCTGGCGACCTTCCCCTGGGACAGGCTCGGGTCCAGAAGCCTTTGAAGCCAGCACCTGACACCCCATGTTCTGTGCATCCTCTCTGGAAAATCTTAAAAGGCACCATTTTGCCTGTGCCCGCGGGTATCGGAATGGTGTGGGCAGCACCTGGACCCCAGTGCAGGGGAAGTGATGTGTGGGTTGCCTCGTGGAGGCTCAGACATCTGTGAGCCCAGGGTGGAGAGACCCCTGCCTACCCAGTCCCCTGATGGGCAGGATGGCAAGAGCCCGTGGTGTCCTTGGGAGCATGCTGTCCACATGGCGATGTCTGCCAGCCTCTGTCTGTGCCAAAGCTTCCTTTGACTGTTGTGTGATTTGATTCTCGCTTGGTGTGAGGGGCTGGGGGACCTGATGGCTGGGCAGGAGTGGGGGCTGCTTTACAAGGGAGTGAGAATCCAGGGAGGCCCAAGAGTCCCTTAACAGAGACCTTGCAGGGCGTTCAACTCTGGCCCAGGCTGGGGGCTGCAGTCACGCTGGAAGTCATACCCAGAAGAGGACCTGGGAGGAGCCGGCCTGGGGACTTGACTCTCATCCACCTGCTGCCTCTGGTCAAGTGGGCCTGGAGGGGGTCCAGGAACTCACCTGCACAAAAGCAGGTCCTGTGTAGTGGGAAGCCAGGGCCCCTTCCAGCCCCTGTCCCCGGGCCTCCAGCTGAGAGCCCTGTGCCATGTACCATGTGCCATGTGCCTGGCCAATCTCAGGGCCTCTCTAAGCCCCTTCTCCATCTGGGACATAAACACGCATCCCAGTGATGGGAGAGTCCCTGACATCAGGTCAGATGTGTACTGACAAAAATTAAAGAAAGGGGTTAAATGTTAGCATGGTAGGTCTGAACCCTGATGAGCTCTTTTTGCCAAAACGCTCTTCTATGTGCCTGTATCTTTTTTCTTTTCATCCACTTCCCAGTGGTAATATAACTTATATACAGTCATAGGCGGTCTCATCCCCCCACGAACAAGGTGGAAAATTCCCAGGTCAACACGTCTACAGTGAAAGTGAAAATGCTTTTGACATGCATACAGCATAGTGCAGTCTTCTAAACCATGTTAGTTGTTTTAAATCCTGTTTAGAAATAGGGCAAGAGTAGAACTAATTATTGACGATTTTAGGTAGGTGACCGTTTCTCACCCTGTGTCACCAGCGTCCCTCTGGCCACATGCAGATGGGGAAACTGAGGTGCAGGGAGGCTCTTACTTGCCAGTAGTGCCTAGTTGGGGGCCCTGGGCTGGTGGGCTTCTGCCCTGCCCCCAAGTGCATTCCATGGCATCTGCCCGCTGGACTGAGGGTTGTCCTGGTCAATCCCAGCTGGGGAGCCAGGAGAGTCCCCCCAGCTGGCCTGGGGTCCTCCGGCAGGGTGTGGGAGTCCTTGGGGATGAGGTTCTCTAGAGCCGGCTGAGTGGGCGCAGCACGGCTGGGAGGACCAGCCTTGGGCACCTTCCTGGGCTGATGGTGGCTGAACACCTGCCCCTCGACCGCCGCCCCCCCACCCCACGCAGCGCCATCCACTTGTGCAACAATGCTGTCCAGAAGCACCTGAAGAATGATGAGGGCCGCAGCCCTCTGCTGCCAGCACACAACATGTGGACCAGCGCCAGGGTCCAGAAGCATCTGCAGCGCCGGGGCCGTGGCGACATGTGGGGCAGCGTCATTTACCCGTCCATGAAGAAGGCCATCACCCACGTCATGAAGGTGGCGCAGGATCACGTGGAGCCTCGTAAGAACAGCTTTGAGCTCTACGGGGCCGACCTCGTGCTCAGGAGGGACTTCAGGCCCTAGCTGATTGAGATCACCTCCAGCCCCACCAAGCACCCGTCCACGCCCATCACGGCCCAGCTGTGCGAGAAGGTGCAGGAGGACACCAAGGTGGCCATGGACCGCAGCTGTGACATCGGCAACTTGGAGCTCCTGTGGAGGCAGGTGAGCCTTGCCCGCCCCTGCCCAGGTGGTGGGTGCCATCCTCTGGGGGGTTTGGTGGCAGCCCCCCATGTGGACGATTTGCCACCTGGTTACTCAGCGAGGGTGGAGCTGCAGGCTGCCAGCCCCAGAGGGTCCATGGAGGATGCCAATCCTGCTCCGTGACTCCCACTCTGTGACCCAGGCCTGCCCTGCCCTCCCATGGGACTCGGTGCCTCGTTGGCCCTGAGGAAAGGGCTGCTACAGGCGTCCGGATGGGTGGGGCGGCCCTGCTGGCTCGGCTCAGAGCTCCATCCAGCTTTCCTCCCTGGTTCCCAGCCCCATCCAGCCCTGACTGATGTTGGAGGTGGGGGCTCCATGCCAGCAGCCTCCAGGCCCACCGTGCTGCTCCTTTGCTTTGGCCTGCAGTGTCTTCCACTCCGAGGGTCTTTTGGGGGCCTCCTTCTCCCCTTGGGACCTTCCTGGGGGGTGAGGCCTGTGCCTGGAGATGTCCTGGAGCCATCAGGAAGTGTGCCTGATGCCTCTCTCTTGAGGCCTCTTTGTAGCTAAACTGGAGAAGTGGGCAGCCCAGTCCTTGGGTGTGGAGCCCCCTAGATTGCCCCTCAAGCCTCAGGAAGCCTTGGCTCCCCAAAGGCTCTACAGAGCCTGGGAGTCTCCTGAGGGTCTGCATGGGACTCCAGGTATTCAATCCTAAGTTGGGCGGGGGTCTGTGCCCGACCAACCCCTCCTGCACAGACTCCACCATCCCAGCCGCATCCCAGCACCCCCAACCTTTGCCTTCCCCTCAGCCTGCGGTCGAGCTGCCCCCATTCACCGGTCTGACCTCTGCGTGGCTGGCATCGGCGTGAGGAGGGCAAGGAGGCAGGTGCTGCCTGTCTGCAACCTCAAGGCCTCTGCCTCGCTGTGGGACGCACAGCCACTGAAGGCACAGTGCCCCCTTGCCATGCCGGACCCCACCCAGGGACCCACACGACCGGCTCTCCAGCAAGACCTGGGACTGAAGGATGAGAAGGGGCTCCCCCTGGCCTTGCTGGCACCCCTAAAAAGGCCAGCCGAGAGCGGCAGAGCCGTGCATCCCACCCGAACCAAGGCTGCTGGGAAGGCGGAGCTCCCTGCCTGCCTCTGCTGCCACGTGGACAGTCAGACCCTGAACACTGGTGAGCCCAAAGCCCAGCCTACCAAATGCTCAGATCCAAACCTTTTTAATGTGCACCCCCTGGCGCCTGTGCTGCAGGGTCTGAAGACAGAGGAGGATGCCCTGCGTCTGCCACCCGGAGCCCCAGGTAACATGGGGGCTGTGGGGGCTGCCTGCTCCATCCCAACCCTCCCTCGCCAGCAGCTGCTGCGCCCTCCAGGACAGGGCACAGAGCAGGCTTCGATGCTGGGGCCTGGGTGTCCCCTGACAGAGGTGCAGGCATAAGCTTGGGAGGGGGTTCGGGGCATGCGGCACCTGTCCCAGCCCCGCAGGGGGGTCGGGGGCGGGGAGTGGGAGTGCTGGCCAGGTGGATAGTGGGGTCCCCTCTGTAGAACCTGGCAGGTGATGCCTTTCTCAATACCACTGGGGTGTGGCACAGGTCGGGAGGATTTGAGTTCAAGCCTTGAACCATGCCATGAACAGCACAAACTCCCTGGCTGATCAAAGTGTCGAAAGTGACCGCTGAGCTTTTGCGTCTGGTTTCTGAGGGGCTGAAGTTACAGGTGGAGCCACCATGCCTGGCTCCTATCAGGCTCTTCTGAGCCTTGGCTAAACCTTCAGAATTAAGGGGCTGCCACTGGCTGCTCTTGGCCTCAGAGTAGCTGAGAAGGATGTGGGGCTGGGATGCGGCTGGCCAGCAGGCAACTTCACCTGTTCCTCCCGCTCGAGGGTCTTTAACAGGGCGTGATGGGGTCTTCAGGAGGGCTTGACGGGGTCTTCACGAGGGCGTGACGGGGTCTTCAGGAGGGCGTGATGGGGTCTTTAGGAGGGTGTGATGGGGTCTTTAGGAGGGTGTGATGGGGTCTTCACCAGGGCGTGATGGGGTCTTTAGGAGGGTGTGATGGGGTCTTCACCAGGGCGTGATGGGGTCTTTAGGAGGGTGTGATGGGGTCTTCACCAGGGCGTGATGGGGTCTTTAGGAGGGTGTGATGGGGTCTTCACCAGGGCGTGATGGGGTCTTTAGGAGGGTGTGATGGGGTCTTCACCAGGGCGTGATGGGGTCTTTAGGAGGGTGTGATGGGGTCTTCACCAGGGCGTGATGGGGTCTTTAGGAGGGTGTGATGGGGTCTTCACCAGGGCGTGATGGGGTCTTTAGGAGGGTGTGATGGGGTCTTCACCAGGGCGTGATGGGGTCTTTAGGAGGGTGTGATGGGGTCTTCACCAGGGCGTGATGGGGTCTTTAGGAGGGTGTGATGGGGTCTTCACCAGGGCGTGATGGGGTCTTTAGGAGGGTGTGATGGGGTCTTCACCAGTGTGTGATGGGGTCTTTAGGAGGGGTCTAGGACAGCATGCAGGTGTTGCCGCCTCCCGATTCCCACTGAGGTTCAGGGGCTGGGACTCCACTCACCAAGATGCTGCCTGTCCCACAGGAGGCTAAGTCCCTCCTGCAGTAGCCCCACGGCTCAGGCCCGCAGGGCACACGCGACTCGGGCCCCACCAGGTCTCCAGCCCCCACGTAGCCTGCCTGCCACGGGGCAGATTTGCCGTAAGCGATGCTGCAGACTACAGGAGTTGATGTTTACCTTTACCGGGTCATCAGTGGAGGCAGCTGGAGACTTACCCAGTGCCAGATTCTCATGTATTTCCCTACATACATTCCTCTTTGCCCTTCACTCTTCCCGAGTCTCAGACTTCCGGTCACATTAATTCTGAACCACTTTCATTCCACTCAAGACAGTTTTCTTTAGGGAGGCGCCAGCAGTGGGACGCTCAGAGGAGCTTTCAGTCTATAAATATCTTTTTCACACAGGTTCATGACAGCCAGATGCTCTGCGGCAGGAGTCCATGTTGCAGCCGCTCTCCCTCTGAACGCTGAATTCGTCCTTCACTGTCTTGTCTTTACCGTGGCTCTTGGGAAATCGGCAGAGCCTGCCATCACTCCAAGGGGAGCTGTCTGTTCTACCTGCCAGCTTTTAAGACTGCTCTAATATGATATCTGAGTACTCAATTTGATTTTCATTTATTCAACCTGGAATTTGAATGTCTTTGATGTGTGCCATGGTGTCATTATTCAGTTATGGGAATCTCTCAGCCATCATGTCTTTAAATGTTGCCTCCACCCCGTTCTGTCCCCTTCCCTTTGGAACGCAGACTAAATGCTTGCTAAGCCTTCTCACTTTCCCTGTATCTCCTAATCTCCCACTTCTGTGTTTGATTTATGTGGCTGCCTATGCTGCATTCTGAAGACATCTCCTCGCCTGTCTTCCCATTCATTTCAGGATGCTACCAACCCATTGAAGTTTTAATTTCTCATAGTTTTCATTTTTACAAGTTCTACTCTTTAATAAATTATTTGATCTCTTTTCTTTTTTTGAGACAGGATCTCACTCTGTCACCCAGGCCGGAGGGCAGTGGTGCAGTCACAGCCTCCACTGCAGCCACCAACTCTCGGGCTCAAGCGATCCTCCCACTTCAGCCTCCCGAGTAGCTGGGACCACAGGCATGCACCACGCCTGGCTGTTTTTGATTCATCCTGCACCCAGTGGTTTGGGACTCCCATTTTGTGGGGGGTGTGAGGTGTCTTCTGTCCCCACACTCCAGGGCCTTGGGACCCAGAGCTCCAGGTGGCCCTGGTGATGAAGTGTCAGAGGAAGGAACTTTGGGGCCTGGTACCTTTCAGAGCACCCTCTCCTCCGGCTCACCTTCCCTGGCCTGGCCCATCTTCCCTTACCATCTTACCTGCTGCTTTTGTCCATTTTTATGATGCTTTTCCTACCTTATGCCCCTGTTTGGTGGTTTTCTCTGGAAGGACTTGTCTGGGGGTCCCAGACCCCCCGTTACTGAGTGCACCCTATGGGCTCCCTGGAACCTGCTGGCACCCCACTGTGACTCTCACTCCAGCCCCAGCCTCCATAGAGGGTTGGAGTCCAGGCCTGGACCTCCCCTCCCTCAGCAGGGCCCAGGCCCCACACCAGCTGCTCAGCCAGCTCATGCATGTTCCATTGACCACACACAGACACACGGAGGGCCACAGACACTGAGTCCCCTATCCTTGGCTTAGGGCGGGCCCAACCTCGGCCCTGACTCACTGGACACACTTTCTGGGCACCCTGGTGGGTCCCAGCAGGCCCTGGGTGTGTGGGGACAGAGCCCTGCCCAACAGCAGTGCCTGGCCTGCTGTGCCGAAGTTCCCTTGCAGATTTGACCTCCCAGTCCTCGGCCCAGCCTCCCTGCATCTCCCCTCTGGGATGAGAGCCCCGAAGAGCAGGAGCTGCTCCCACCTCATTCTTCTGCTGCTCACATCCTGCTTGTGCCACGCAGGCCCTGGCCTGTCTCATGTGCCAGGCTGGCCCAGCCTTTCCAGGAGACCCAGTTTCAGGCGCTGCTCAGCTTCCACCTGAGGTTCCCGGAAGCCAAGGGCTGCCTTGCATAGGCACTGGGGGCTCTCCCCACCCAGACCGTGAGGAAGAGTGACTCAGCCTGGGGCCCGGAGTTTGCTGTCGGTAGTGGGTGCCCCAGCACTTCTGGGCTAGGCTGTGGCTGCTTGGGAACCTTTAGCCCCAGAGGCTGGGAAAACTGGGGAATCTCCCCTTTATCCCACATTCCTGCCCCACCCTGGGATTCCTTCTGTCCCTCCCCCACCACAGCTGCAGCAAGTGTACAGGCTGGGCTTCCCTTCACCCTTCCTGGCCTGGGCAACCTGAGGTTGACTCCTGGCCCCAGTACATGGGGGACAGGGATTGGCACAGGCTCACCCCACTGAGGAGGGCTAGCCAGAGACCTGAGACAGCCTCAGGGCAAGGCCAGTGGCTGGAGGCCAGCAAGAGCCAGGCCAAGGCCCCAGCATTTTGGGTTGAGAGGGCCCCTGTGTGAAAAAGACGCATGGTGGCCACACCAGCCGCCCTTGCCTGTCCTGGGACACTCCGAGAAACAGTGTGAAAGTCCTGGAAAAGCAGCAGCTCCCATGCAGAGGTGGCCTCGAGGAGTGGCCCCACAGTGGACAGCACCTACCTGCTCTTGCTCATCACGGCTGCTACCTCTGAGCCCACGCAGGAAAGGGCACAGGCTGCAGCCACCTCTCAGACCACGGGCACCACGTGGGATGTCGGGCATGGGGCCTGCTCCCTCCAGCAGCTCCTAGCATCAGAACAGCCCATGGGGCCTGGTGAGGTCTGACCACAGGTTGTGGGCAACAGGTCTTCTAGCTCCACTGGGAACCCCAACCCAGGCCCGGCTCTAAGGTGCCAGCGTGCCCAGATGGCCTGCACCAGCTGCAGCCTCTCATGGGAACAGGAACACCCTCAGCCTTGACACTCCCACCTCCCTACTGACCTGTACAGCCGCTGACCTGCCCTGGGACTCTGGGGGGGCCGCCCCAGCTGCTGGCCCTCAACTGCAGGCACTGCCCTGTGCCCACGACCCACTTGGTCCTGGCCCAGCTCAGCACCAGGCATCTGAACCTGAGTCCAGGCACAGCAGCGAAGGAGGAGTTGGGGTGGGGGCTGCTCTTCTCCGAATCCCCCAGCTGGTTGGGTGCTTCTAGGCAGGCCTCACCTCGAGGGGGGCTGGGAGAGGCAGAGCTGTCCCACTCTGGGATGAGGGGCCAGGTGGAGGGGTGTTAGGCAGGGTGAGGAAGGGGACCTCCCCATCCACAGAGCCTTCACCCCAGAGTCATGATGCCCCACCCCTGACCCCCTGCCCACGTTTTTAATTTTTATTTATTTGAGAAGTAGTTTTGCTCTTGTTGCCCAGGCTGGAGTGCAATGGTAAGATCTCAGCTCACTGCCACTTCTGCCTCTGAAGTTCAAGAGATTCTCCTGCCTCAGCCTCCTGAGTAGCTGGGACTACAAACGCCTACCAGTTCACCCGGCTAATTTTTGGCATATTTAGTAGAGACGGGGTTTCACCATGCTGGCCAGGCTGGTCTCGAACTTGTGACCTGGTGATCTGCCCGCCTCAGCCTCCCAAAGTGCTGGGATTACAGGCATGAGCCACCGCGCCTGCCCGGCCGGCGTTTGAGTGGAGGTCTTGGTTTTCTGAAAGCTGGGGGAAGCAGGTGGGCTCCATGCAGGAGCGGGTTGGGAGCCACCTGGGGCTGGACTTTCCGCTGGGCTGCTCTGGCAGGTGGTGCTATGCCCCCGAGGGGCCTGCCTGGGGGCGTGGCCTTGAGGGGCGTAGGCGTTGCCTGTTGGTGGGTGTGGACTGAGGGACCCACGGGGCGCCGGGATGAGGCCAGGGGCGCGGTCGGGGGATGGGCTGGGGCGGGGGAGGACGTGGGCGAGGATTCAGGGGTCTGTGGCCCGGCGCGAGGGTCACCGGGCGTGGGCGCAGCGTCTTGGACGCCGTCCAGAGGTCCCGGGTGTGTGGGACGTCATGGGGCTGGACGAGCGGTGGTGGGTGCTTGGGGAGGGCTCGGGGCGCGTCTGCAGGTGGAGGAAGGCGCTGTCGTGGTGGAGGGTCCCAGCGCCCGGGGGCGGGGGCAGTCGGGCGGAGGGAGGCGCGGCTGGATGCGGGGCCTGCACCCGCTGTCTCAGCACAGGTCTCTCCCCAGGGCTGCAGAGGGACCCCCGAGCGCCGCCTTGCCTCGTGTGCCGTGGTCCTGCAGGACTCGTCCTTCGTGCCGCTGGGCGGGCGGAGCTGCAGCCCGAGGACCCCGTGAGCCGGGACCCACGCGGGGACCAGGATGATGACCCGGAGCCAGACGCGTGTCCGTGGAAACCTGCGCGGAGCTGAGGCTGAGAACACGGCACTGTTGCAGAGAACCCGCGTCCTCGCCGGTTTTCCTGGGTGCCCCGCGCCCGGCATCCCCGCGCCTGCCCCGGCCCCTCCAAGCCACCCTGGGGGAGGCACCAGCCCGGGGATCCCAGGCGGACGCTGGTTCGTTCCTCCCGCGTTTGTCCAAGTCTTGGCGCCGCCCAGGCTCTCCCACCCGCGTTTCCTCCCACCTGGTGCCCAGCACGGGCGCTGAGGGAGACCAGGGTTGGACCGTGCCATCCCTTTGCAGTTGGGCTTCTTGGCGCTCGGGAGGTAAGTGGGCCGTGTGACCGTGCTGCCCTGGAAACCCAGATATGGAAAGACTCCCCCTGACACCCCAGGCCTTGTCCAGGAGGTGGCTGGGGCCTGCCCGTGAGCCGATGGCCTGGCTTTTCTTGGATACTGAGCGGGACCAATCCCGCAGCCCTCAGAGCCAGCACCCCATCCTCGGGTTGGAGAGGGTGGCTGGGCCGGGGCAAGGGCCTGGCTTCACCATCCTTCCTGGCCTTGGGACCAGCACCAGCCACACCCCATGGGCCGTCCCCACACGAGGTCACTGGCTACTGGCTGCCCTCAGCCCCTGCCTGCATCACGGTGCTGGGAAGACGCCTTCAGGCAACTGGGTGTCATGGTGGGGGCCTGTCCCAGTGAGGCCTGGAGACAGAGAGGTTCAGGTGTGAGGGGCCTGGGGCAGGAGAGACATTTGTCCTTTCTCAAGGATCCTGCTGGCCGTGCCCATGGACATCGCCTGGGACACCTGCCATGGCTCAGCAGCCCACCCCGCCGCCCATAAGGAAGGCTGGACGCCAGGCTGATGGGTGAGGCCCAGCTGCAGTATCTGTCTTACAGCCCAACCAGCATGGGACAGTGGGTGACAGAGACCATCCTGGGCCACCCCCAAACATACCTGCCTGTTGACCATGCTGTGGCGTGGAGGCCAGCACCGGGCACTCTGCAAGGCACCATGGCCACAGGCACACTGTGGGCGGGGGGTGCTCAGCCCCATGGACTCTGCCCAGCAGTGACTGCAAAAGTTCCAGCCCATGGAGGTGCGGGCAGGGCCGAGGTGCTGGCCCAGGATGCAGGGAGGTGGGCAGTGGGCGGTGGCAGAAAGGAGGGAGGAGTTCATAGCCATGGCAGGCCCCTGCCGCCTTCCCTTCCCTGGGACCCAGTCCCTCCCCTGGGACTCAGTCCCCTGGGACTCCCTCCTGACACTCCCCAAGCCCACAGTGTGAGGCTCATGGCCTCTCCGTCTGGGGGTGGTGCCACTCTTCACACTTGGGGGGTCCTGTGGGTATTCCAGGCAGAACACCCCAGCTCTACACTGCCTCCATCCCCCACCACACACACACACACACACACACACACACACACGCACGCGTGTGCACACACACACGTGGGGCCGTGCCCTTTCAGGAACAGAGGCAGGAGCTTCTGTGCTGCCGAGACATGGAGATTGGGCTGAGCACAGGGACTCTGTGCCTGTCCAGGAAAAGAAGAGCCAGGTCGCCCAGAACCACACCCTGGTTCTCTCCAACCCCCTGCCCTGGCTGGAGGCAAATGGGAAGCAGTGAGCTTCTGCCCAAAAACTTTTCTACGCATTGGATGCTCCAGGTAAGAAGAGGACTCAGAACAGCTGCCTGAGCAGAAGCTGAGCCCCAGAGTTCCCAGCCCTGGGGGCTGCCCTCTGGAGTGCGGGACCTCACAGTGAGGACCGAGCAGGGGGGTGGCCTCTTGCATCTGGAGGGGAGGCAATGGCTGAGGACTTGGGTTGGAGTCTCAGGTCCCAGGAGAGGGCTCTCCCTTAGAGGCCGGGGCCGAAGCCAGGGGCTCTGGGGTACCAGTGCCCAAGACAGATTCTGCCCCCCCTTTGCCAGCCCAGCCAGCTTTCCAGGGTCCTTGTCTACTGTCCCAGCCTCATGCATGCCTGAAGGGGGTGCACACAGGCAATGCCTAGATGCCGCTGGCCTGGAGCCATCTCTGCTCCAGTGGCACGCCCCATGGGGAACCCCATTAGGGTGTTTTGGGACTCCAAAGACCTCAAGGTTTCTGGATGCTTCCTTTGGAAACCTAGAAATTCCACAAGTGTGTGGCCACAGTCTCATGGCCCCAGGCCGTGGAAAGTCTCCGGGCTGCTGTCTGCAAAGGGAGCCCTGTCTTGCCAGGAGGGGCGTGTCCGCTTGCTCCTGCTGTGAGAAGCGGCCTTCTCTCCTCTGTCTTTGGGGCTGGAGCAGCTGCCACAGGGCACCCTGCAAACTTGCCCCACTCACGTCCACAGTCTCCAGTGGGAGCTGTCACTGCACAGCCACATGCTGGCTGGGCAAGTACTTGCATTCCTCGGCCTGACCTGGGGCACCTTCCAGAGCCTGGCCATCCCCAGGATTTCGGAATGTGGCCTCTCTTGTTCTCAGGTAAGCTCCTGCCTCCTCCTAGGCCCTGGTTTCTCCTCAGGTGGGTGTGGCCTGATGCTCTCAGCACATGGACAGGGACAGGTGAGGGGTTGCAGGAGCCTGGGGGCGCCTGTTGGAGCTGGTGAAAGGAGGCTGGGAGACCTGGCCTGACCCTGCCGAACTGCTCTGGGAAGTGTTTGCTGGAAGCTCAAGGCAGGGTGAGCCCACCTCCGACCAACCTGTGACCTCCAAGGAGGCTGTTAGAATCTAGCGCAGCGTGCAAGCCCATCCCGGGCTCCCCACCCCACCCCCCAAACTGCTCTGAGCCATCAGGAGCCAGTGGCGACACACAGGCTTGTGTAAACACCTGCCAAGGAGACACTTGGGGAAGGTGCCTGGGGGGGTGGGGTGTGCCCCCGCTGCAGGGCCGGCTGACTCAGCCTGACAAGAGAGGGTGTTTCATCACCTGCAGGAAGAAGTGTGCCAGCCGTCCCAGGAAGGAGCACCAGTGCCCAAGGCTGGCTGAGGCACAGTGGGGACACTGGCGTGGAAAGCCCGGAGGGGGTCCTGGGAAGGGGGAACTCCCTGAGGACCTGCTGGGTGCACCGTTCCTGGTATAGGGACAGCAGACAGCAAGATGTGCCTTTAGGGTGGTGGCCTGGTCACCTCAGGGGACACTTTCAGGACACCCAGCAGCTCCACAGGGCCTGAGATGGGTCCAGCAGCGGGCTCAGGGAGGGGAGGGAGCGGTGGGTGTGGGTGCATTCGTGGACCAAGGAAGAAAGGAGGCTGGGATGCACAGGAGTGGGTGGGAGCAGGCGACAGGTGATTCAGGTGGGAGAGGTGTTAGCTGGATTCCCTCCTGCAGGGGAGATGGAAAACAGGGAGGGACAGGACTGGGGTTCCTGGCTGGGGGAAGGGAGGAGAAGTGAGAGTTGAGACTCAGAGGCGACTTTTGCCTGTCGGTGGATGGAGGAAATGGCTCCTGAGTTGGGAGACCTGAGGGAGGCAGCCTTGAAAAGTGAGCTGGAGAACCTTGCGGAGGTGGCTTCGGGGTGTGCCTCCCGGTGCCAGGGGGGCGATAGGGCTGTCCCACACTGCTATGGGCAGGGTGACCCTGGGGAGCAGGTGAGGCCAGGACTGAGCCCTCCCTACTGCAAGGAGAGGGACAGGGGCAGGGGCAGGGGCTGAGGCAGGCGGAAGAGGCTGAGGAAGGAGGGGAAAAGCTGCAGGGGAGGGGAAAGGAGGGGTTCACAGGGCTGAGGGAGGGTCTCATGGAAGATAGGGTGGGGAGGGCTGACCAGGAGGTGTGGAGGGGTAAGAGGAGTGGGAATCTGGAGGTGGGTGTAGGGGCGCTGCCTGGGGCAGCCTTAGGCCAGGCGGTGAATGTGAGGGGTCATGGGACCCCCCTGTCTGAGGTGGGAAGCCTGGGAGAGGAGGCCGGGGCTAAAGCTGGCCTGGGGGAACCTGCTCGGGTGGGGGCGGGAGGCTGGGCCTGATGCTGGAGACCTCTGGGGGGGACGGGGCCCACATGGGTGCCAAGATAAGCCGCCTTGGGAGTTCCCTACAGACACCTCGACGCTTAGCAGCTGGGAAGCCCCGAGAAGCACAACGGAAAACCCCATAGCTGGGAGGCGCCCAGGACCCAGGCTCAGCCCCAGCTCCCCCCAAGATACCCCACAGTGTGCCCAGGGCCCAGGCTCAGCTCCAGCTCCCCCACATCCCCCACAGCGTGCCCAGGGCCCAGGCTCAGCCCCAACTCCCCCCACATCCCCCACAGTGTGCCCAGGACCCAGGCTCAGCCCTAGCTCCCCCCCATCCCCCACAGTGTGCCCAGAGCCCAGGTTCAGCCCCAGCTTCCCCCAACCCCACAGCGAACACAGGTCCGGCTTCCTGTGCCCCTCGGGGGATGGGCAGAACCTCGTGGACGTCCTTCACCCCTGACAGTGGCCTCTCCTGCAGCCCCAGACACACGGGGCCACGGGGCCAGCCCTGGGTGGGCTTCAGCACCGGCTCTGGGCTCAGAGTCCAGGAAGTCAGGAGAAAGAGCTGACCCCCTTCCCATCTCCAGACCACCCTGGCCTCTAAGCCCCCAGAAGGGGTTCTTTCTCTCCCTGATTTGGAGATGGGAGTCCAGGTCACAGCTGATGCCCAGAGAGGCTTCAGGGCACCTGGTGGGAGGGGTGGGGACCTGCCACTGCCCCCCTATAGTTCCATACAGGGGCCTCACTGGGCCTCCCACACGGCCTCCCCGGCTCCTCCTGTGCCCAAGCTGTTCTGCACTGCCCCCACCTGCCCACCTTCCATCCCTGCCACACCCTGCCCCCACTTGCCCACCTCCCACCCCCACACCCTGCTCCCACCTGCCCACCTCCCATCCCCACCCCACCCTGCCCATCTCCCATCCCTGCCACACCCTGCTCCTGAGCCTGCTCGGATCAATTCCCAGAGGCTGCCCAGGTGAGCCCAGCCCCTTTAGCCTGGCAGAGCCCTTGGCCGCCTGCAGTCACCTCCGCCAGCCCCTCGTTTGAGGCCCTGCTCCTCACCAGGGGCCGAAGCTGGGCTTCCATCCAGCCGCCCCCATCCAGCCGGCCCTCCACCCTCAGGCAACCAGTTTTGTGGCCATTGCAGACGGAGGAGGGTCCCGCATGGTGGTCTCTCTCTGGGGAGTTATGGGGTGGTCTGCAAATGGGTGGAGACAGTGGGGAGAATGAAGACTCCGAGGCCATCTTAGGGTAGGGTCCTGGGCTGGACCCTGGAACAGAAAACAGATTTCACCAGGATCCCACAATTCCACATGCAGGCTGAGGGTCACTAACTGCCACCCATGTGTGGCTCCCAGGTTTTGCAAATGCCCCAGAAGCTGTTGAGATTTGGGGAAACTGGGTAAACTCTGGTCACCATTTAAACACATTCCAAAATAAAAAGTATTTAGAAAGAGGCGGGAGATGTAGACACTGGCCATAACAGCTTCACAATTCAAGGAACAGAAGTGGGCCCGTCTTTTGCTTTTCCATGTTCCCACCCGGGCCAGGATCAGAAGTCCAGCTCTCCACCTTGAGCTCCCCCGACTCCCACTCCCACTCCCACCCCCACCCCAACAGTCTGGGCTCATCCAGTCCATAGAGGATCAGCTCTTTTCAAGAATGGAGCGCTGTGTTGACCAGGGGCTGCACAGTCCAGCACCCCAGCACAGTGGTCTGGACTCCGGGGTCCTGCCCTGCTCTTAGGGTGCCAGTGCCACCCTGTGCTCTCCAACCTCAGCTCCCATGCCATTGTTGCAGGGGTGCCAGGCGCCTCCTGCCTCACAGGCCACTGGGGAGCAGCCTGTCCCACAGACCCTTCTAACCCACGGGAGCCACAAGTCCTCCTCATGCACCTCTGAGGGTGATAATATATTGGGACCACAGCTTTCCCCAGGACCGTCCAGGGCACAGTCCTCCCACCACCAGCTCAGCCTCAGTTCCCTCCAGACCCATGAAATTGACCTCTACGAGTCCCCCAAGCACCTCTTAGGTTTCTAGCCTGCACTCCTCAGGCTCCCCAGACCCCTCTAGCTCCTCTGGAGCCCTCTGTTATTTTCCCGCCTCTCTCGTTAGTTACATAAAGTGTAAGTTGCTGATTTCCCGGGTTTCAGATCGTTCTGTCTCCCCCTTCTTGGAATGTGGGCTCCTCTAGAGGAAGGGAGGGTTCACTGTTTTCCTCTGTTCACAAATCCCAGCACCTAAGCAAGCCTGCCACATGGTGGGTGCCCCGCCAGTGTCCACTTAACAAATGCGCAAGTGGGTGGGGGAGCCGGGCCTGAAGGTCCGCAGGGATTCAGACCACAATGTTTACTGAGTGACCGCGCGTGGCAGCCCTGGGCAGACCCCTGACACTGAGGGCAGCCCAGGACCCTGGGAGTGAGGGCCAGGGCAGGAGCAGGACAGACTGGGGAGGGGGTGCCTGCAGCCACTCACCCTCTCACTGTTCTGTTTCCAGGGCTTCGCCTGCAGGAGCCACAGGAACCGTGAGTACATCTCAGCCCGGGCACGCTCAGGGCCTGACTCCCCCGTGCCCCTCTCAGTAGACCCAGGTCCACCCAGGCCCCCAGGGCCGCTTTGTCCACCGTGGGAGGCAGGTCTGTCCTGCACTGTCCCCAGAAGTCAGGGTTCCCCTTCTGAGCAGGGCGAGCCGCCATCGCTCACCGATGGGTATGGAGTCCTGGACACACCCTAACCCTAACCCTGGCTCCTGCCCAGAAGTGGGTCAGCTGCAGATAGAGTCCCACGCCTCCATTTAACTCACAATACCTCGCTGTGTTCCAAACCCCGGCCCAGCTGCCATCCCACCAGCAGCAAGTGGAAACCCCCCTGTCATCTAGCACAGCTTTTCCCTCTGTAAAGTGATCCCTCCTGGGCTTTGCACAAATACCTTGGTTGTCTTTGTAAACAGCGTATGTATTTATAAAGGACGCTGAGTGATGCCGACAGTATAAGGAAGAACGATAACACTCACTGGAAAGCCTCCATGTGGGCAGAAACAGCATTCACCTCGACAAACATTGCTCTAGAGATTTGGAGTTTTTTCTTGTAATTTTTGCATTTTATAAGAAGAGAGATGAGGTCTCCCTATGCCTGGTTGGCATCCAAACCCAGGCTGTTCTCAAACTCCTGGGCTCAAGTGTTCCCCCTGCATCAGCCTCCCAAAGTGTGGGATTATGGGTGTGAGCCACCCCGCCCAGCCTGTTCTAGACTTTTGTGTATGCAAATATACAGATGTTTGCAGAATAAACAGATAAAAATTATTTTATAGAAATTACCTTATATCATTTAAAGTATTTTATGTATTTTTACTTGAATTTAACAGAAAAATAAAGAGATGGCTAAACTTTAATTAAATGTTTCTTCGCCTCAAGGATCTCTAAGCTTAAGACGGGCGATTAGATCAGCCTGGCCCTGTGCAAGGATGACACGTAAGTTTACAAAGCGCTTCATATTAACAAACAACAATACATACAAAGCATGGCCGGGCATGATGGCTCACACCTGTTATCCCAGCACTTTGGGAGGTTGAGGCAGGCGGATCACCTGAGGTCAGAAGTTTGAGACCAGCCTGGGCAACATGGTGAAACCCCATCTCCTAAGAATACAAAAAAAAAAAAAAAAATAGCCAGGCATGGTGGCACTTGCCTGTAATCCCAGTTACTTGGGAGGCTGAGGCAAGAGAATCACTTGAATCTGGGAGGCAGAGGTTGCAGCGAGCTGAGATTGTGCCACTGCACTCCAGCCTGGGCAATGGAGTGAGATTCTGCCTCAAAAAAAATTAAAAAAAAAAAACAAAAAAAAACTCTTTAGTATTTCTAATAGATTTCCTATCTAGTCTCAAGTTTTTTTATATAGATGATCACGTATTCTGCAGCTAATGGCATCTTGTAAACCTGTATGTTGGGCAGAGGGGGTGGATTTTGTGGACTTGACTCAGCTCTCCAGGGCAATGCTGAATGAGGGAATTCCTGTCTGAGTCCTGATACTAATGGTAATGGTTCCAAAGGTTTACTGTTCAGTGTTCATTTATTGCACTAGATGGCCCTGATCTACACAAAGAGGTGTCTTTCTTTTCCTAGTTTGCTAAGCATTATTTTATCATGAATAGGTGTTGAATTGTATGAAACATTTCTGCAGCTATGAAAATTATGTTTTCTACTTTTCTTTTTTGACATGGAATCTCATTCTAGTTGCCCAGGCTGGAGTGCAGTGCCACGATTTTGGCTCACTGCAACCTCCGCCTCCTGGGTTCAAGCGATTTTTCTGCCTCAGCCTCCCAAATAGCTGGGATTACAGGCGCCTGCCTCCACACCTGGCTAATCTTTGTATTTTTAGTAGAGACGGGGTTCACCATGTTTGCCAGGCTGCTCTCAAACTTCTGACCTCAGGTGATCCACCCACCCTCGGCCTCCCAAAGTGCTGGGATCACAGGTGTGAGCCCCCCTGCCCAGCCCCAGGGTGTTTTTAAACACAGAGTGGTCCTCAGCCTCCTCCTCTGTCAACACCAGTTTGAATTCCCAATTCCCCACCACGTTTTCCCAGTCCCTGCACTTGTGGCTGCTTCTGTAACCCATTTGTTCCTGTTGAGCCCCTTCTCCCTCCTGAAGTGAGCACATCAGTTAGGCACTCTTTCAGGAAGGCTCCGTGGGTGTTATCTGTGTGCCTTATTTGGGGTAAGGCAAAACATATTTATTTCTAAGTGTTAATGATCAATTTTAGTTTCACGGTTATTTCCATGCAGTAACCATGAAGCCTGTTCAGTACCACACATCATTTGGGTGTTTCTGCTTCACCCGCCCTTCCCTCTACACACCCTTCTCTTCATTTTGTCAGCATAGTTGGGAGAAGAGCCCGTTCTTATTTTATACACTTTATTTTACAATGAGCAGCTGCTCCTTCTGCACCCCTTTCACTAACTCTGTATATGTTCTCATTTTTTGTGCTAACCGTGAGTCCTTCTCCTACGTGGCTTCACCAATTTTTTTTTTTTTTTTTACTTTCTGGTTTTGATTCCTTTGTTGGTTAGCTGGACAGACCTTTGCCTTTTCTCTAGAAAGGGTCAAAAGATACAGGTTTCTCATTTCTTGCATAAAGGAGCTTGTCTTTTTTTTTTTTTTTTTTTTGAGAAGGAGTCTTGTTCTGTCACCCAGGCTGGAGTACAGTGGTTTGATCTCTGCTCACTGCAACCTCCACCTCCCAGGTTCAAGTGATTTTCCTACCTCAGCCTCCTGAGTAGCTAGAACTACAGGTGTGCGCCACCACACCCCGCTAATTTTTGTATTTTTAGTACAGACAGGGTTTCCCCATGTTGGCCAGGCTGGTCTTGAACCTCTGACCTCTGGTGATCCATCCGCCTCAGCCTCTCAGTGCTGGGATTAAAGGGGAGGTTTTCGTCTTTTTGGACTCACACATATGGATGACAACACAGACACTGAATTCTAAGGCACAGACATTTCTCTAAAGATTGCTGCACACCAAGCCCTGGGTACGATTCTCTAAGGGAAGGAAACACCAGCCTTGGAGCCACAGCTCCCCACTTCCCGATACCCAGCATGACCCAGCTTCTTATCCCCAAACCATCAGGCTTCATTTATTTTTAAATTTTCAATCTGTAGTTATTCTTTGCTAGTATATAGAAATACAGGGTTTGGGATGCTGAGGTGGGTGGATCACTAGAGGTCAGGAGTTCAAGACCAGGCTGGCCAACATGGGGAAACCCCATCTCTACTAAAAATAAAAAAAATTAGCTGGGCATGGTGGCAGGTGCTGTAATCCCAGCTACTCTGGAGGCTGAGACAAGAGAATCGCTTGAACCCAGGAAGCAGAGGTTGCAGTGAGCTGAGATTGCAGCACTGCACTCCAGCCTGGGCAACAGCGAGAATCCATCTAAAAAAAAAAAAACCACCAAAACCAAAACCAACCAACCAACAAAAAAGAAATACAGTGAATTTTTTTTTGAAGCAGAGTCTTGCTCTGTCGCCAGGCTGGAGTGCAGTGGCACAATCTCAGCTCACTGAAACCTCCGCCCACCAGGTTCAAGCGATTCTCCTGCCTCAGCCTCCCAACTAGCTGGGACTACAGGTGTGAGCCACCACGCCCAGCTAATTTTTTTTTGTATTTTCATTGGAGACAGGGTTTCACCAAGTTGGCCAGGATGGTCTTGATCTTTTGACCTTGTGATCCGCCTGCCTCAGCCTCCCAAAGCGCTAGGATTACAGGCATGAGCCACCGCGCCCGGCCCAGATTTTTTATATATTGATCTAGTATCCTGCAATTTTGCTAAACTTATTAGTTTTAGTGCCTTTTTTGGAGACACTAACGTTTTCTACAGAGGCAATCATGTCATCGGGAAAGGAACACACTTCACTTCTTCCTTTCCAAGCGCAAGTCTATTTCTTTTCCTGCCTCATTTCGTGGAGGAGGGTGCCCCACTGCAGTATTGAGTGGAATTGAGAAGAGCAGGGATTCTTTTGTTTTTGATCTGGGGGAAATAATCTATTCTTTCACTGTGAAATGTGATGTTAGATATAGGTTTTTCACCTATATCACACATTGATCATCTTTAACAATTTGAGGAAAATTCATTCCCTGTTTGCTGAGATTTCTTTTTTTAATCAGGAATGGATGACAAATTTTGTCAAAAATGTTTCTGTGACTATTGAGATGATAAGTGGTTTTTAAAAATTTTGTCAGTCGGGCGCGGTGGCTCACACCTATAATCCCAGCACTTTGGGAGGCCGAGGCGGGTGGATCACGAGGTCAAGCGATCGAGACCATCCTGGTCAGCAAGGTGAAACCACATCTCTATTAAAAATACAAAAATTAGCTGGGCATGGTGGTGCTCACCTGTAGTCCCAGCTACTCGGGAGGCTGAGGCAGGAGAATTGCTTGAACCCAGAAGGCGGAGGTTGTGGTGAGCCAAGATCACGCCCTTGCACTCCAGAATGGGTAACAACAGCGAAACTCCATCTCAAAAAAAAAAAAAATTTTTTTTGTCAGCTGGGCCTGGTGGCTCATGCCTATAATCCCAGCACTTTGGGAGGCCGAGGTGGGCAGATCACCTGAGGTCAGGTGTTCCAGACCAGCCTGGCCAACATGGTGGAACCCCATCTCTACTAAAAGTACAAAATTAGCCGGGTGTGGTAGCTCGAACCTCTAATCCCAGCTACTCAGAGGCTGAGGCAAGAGAATCTCTTGAACCCGGTAGGCAGAGGGTTCTCAGTACACCAACATCCCACCATTGCACTCCAGCCTGGGTGACAAAGTGAAAACTCTGTCTCAAAAAAAAAACAAAAACTGTGGACATGGTGGATTACAGTGGTTGATTTTCTCATGTTAAGCCAGCCTTGCATGTGTGGGACAAACTGCTGCAGTCATCATCTTTCCCTCTGCCTGTGGAGCCACCTCCTAACGTTTTGTTTAGTGTTTATTGCCCTGCAGTTGCCTCTTCTTATAATGTCTCTGTCGGGTTTTGGTGCCTGAGAGTGAGTTCTGAAGGATCCCTTCATCTTCAGCTTTCTGGAAGCATCAGTAGAACCGGCATTCCTTCTTCCTTAAGTATTTGGTTTCATTATTTTCTTTACTGCTCTTCTGCTTTCCACGGCCTAGGTTTCCACTCTGATTTTATTTTTCTTTTTACTTTCGGTTTCATTGCTTCGTTCTCTAGTTCCTTCAGGTGGAAACTAAGGTCACTGATTTGAGATCTTTCTTCTTTTCTAGGTTGAGTTGAGTGCTGCGAATTTCCCCCAAAATCCTGCTTTAGAAGCATCTAAGAGGTTTTTATATGTTGTCTTTTTCTTTTTTTGTAGTCCAGAGGTCTTATTTTTTTAGCACCTACTATGCCGTGAATTCATAAGGAGTAGGTTCCAGCTGCTCAGGCGCCTTCCCACTGGTTCTCACGCAGTGGGCTTCTCCAGGCGGAGCAGGCTGGGGCGGGCGCTTCGGCTGAACTGGAACCTTTCTCTTTGGCTTCCTTTTCTCGTCATTTTCCTTCACGTGTTTCAGGAAGCAGTCTCGGCTCTTAGAGTCCCTAACATGCTCTATATGCACATTGATTCTCTTGGCAGGAATCTTGCCCTTAACTTGTTCATTTTCAACAGTGCCAGCAGCACGCTGGGGAACACTGTCAACTCTTCCGGCTTTGCCGTGGGAACACCTGTGGGCTTCCTTTACAAACAGTTCCCTTCATGTCTACAGTATCACCTTTCTTATGGATTCGCATATATGTGGCCGAAGGAGTGACTCCATGTTTTTGTTTTGTTTTGAGACATAGTCTCGCTCTGTCACCCAGGCTGGAGTGCAGTGGTGTGATCTTGGCTCACAGCAACCTCTGCCTCCAGGTTCAAGCGATTCTCCTGCCTCAGCCTCCCCAGTAGCTGGAATTACAGGCTCCTGCCACCATGCCCAGCTACTTTTTGTATTTTTAGTAGAGACTGGGTTTCACCTTGTTGGCCAGGCTGGTCTCGAACTCCCAACCTCGTGATCCGCCCACCTCGGCCTCCTGAAGTGCTGGAATTACAGATGTAAGCCATTGAGCCCAGCGAAAACATCTCACAAAATTACCACAGTTACTATTTATGATATCTCTATTCCTCCGGTGCCCTTTTCATCTGTTACTATTTTCCTTCCTGCCATAAGGACTTTCTTTAGCACCCTTTGATATGTGGGTCTTCTGGTGAAACTTCTTCCAGCTTTTGTCTGCAAAAGAAACCTTTACCCTTAATTTGGAAAGGGGTTTTTTACATGGTATAGAATTTTCTCTTTATCATTGGTTTTTAAGCAAATTGATTATAGTATGCCTTGGTGTCATTTTCTTCGTGTTTCTTATATTTAGCACTCATTGATTTTCTTGGATCTGTGACTTCCGTAGTTTCATCAAGTTTGGAAAATTTCTATCATTTTTTTGAGTTTAAATTTTTTTTTAATTCAGTCTCCATAGAGACTGTCAAAAATTGCCAATGCTGACTATATTTCAAGTCGTCACTGCGGGGTATTGGGAAAAGTTTTCAATTAGCAATAATTGCACCTTGGATAAACCTCACTGGCTACGATACTGCCACTGCACAAAGCTGAGTCTTTAAAATTTCTTCCTTTCCTTTAGGGACTCCAATTATACATATATGAGGTCACCTTTGGTTGTTCCACAGGCCACTGATGCTTTGTTCATCATTGTCGTCATCATCACCATCATTTCTCTGCTTCTTTTCGGATAGTTTCTATTGCTGTGTACCCCAGCATCTCTCCCTCTCTCCCTTCCCCCATCTCTACAGTGTCTAATTTTCTGTTAATACTCTCTGATGTATTTTTCAGTCAGACATTGTAGTTTTTGGTTCTAGAAGTTGGATTTGGGTTTTTTTTAAAATATGTATCCTATGTCTATAATTAACTTCTGAATGTATGGAATACAGTAATAATTGTATTAATGTTCTTGTCTACTTTTTTTTTTTTGAGTCAGTGTCTCCTTCTGTCACTCAGGCTGGGATACAGTGGCATGATTTCGGCTCACTGCAACCTCTGCCTCCTGGGTTCAAGCAATTATCCTGCCTCAGCCTCCTGAGTAGCTGGGATTACAGGCATGCACCACCATGCCCAGCTAATTTTTATATTTTCGGTAGATATGGGGTTTCACCATGTTTGCCAGGCTGGTCTCAAACTCCTGATCTCAAGTGATATGCCTGCTTTGGCCTCCTAAACTACTGGGATTACAAGCATGAGCCACCATGCCCAGCCTCTTGTCTACGAATTCTGTGTATCAATATTGTGTTAGTTTTGGCCAGATGCAATAGCTCACACCTGTAATCCCAGCATTTTGGGAGGTCGAGGTGGGTAGATGCCTTTGGCCAGATGCAATAGCTCACACCTGTAATCTCAGCATTCTGGGAGGTGGGTAGATGCCTTTGGCCAAATGCAATAGCTCACACCTGTAATCCCAGCACTTTGGGAGGTCGAGGTGGGCAGATCCCTTGAGCTCAGGCATTCAAGAACAGGCTGGGCAACATGGTGAAATCTTGGTCTCTACAAAAAATTCTAATATTAGCTGGGTGTGGTGGTGCACACCTGTGGAGGGAGAATGACTTGAGCTCAGGAGGCAGAGGTTGCAGTGAGGCAAGATTGCATACTCTAGCCTGAGTGACAAAAGTGAGACCCTATCTCAAAAAAAAAAAAAAAAACTTGTGTTAGTTTTAATTGATTTTTCTCCACATTAGGGTTGTTTTTTCCCTGATTCTTTGTATGGCTTGTAATTTTTTACTGGATGTCAGACATTGTGAATTTTACCCTGTTGTGTGCTGAGAGAAAAAACATTTTCTTTACTCCCACAAATATTCGTGAGCCTTTTCCTGGCATACAGTTGTTTCTTGGAGACAACCTAATCTTACTGGTCTTGCTTTTTCAGTTTGTTAGAAAGGACCAGAGCAATGCTCAGTCTAAGATTAATTCTCCCCTTCTACTGAGACAGACTCTCCTATGTGCTGTACCCAGTGCCCTTCAAGTCATGAGGTTCTCAGTCTGGCTGCAAACAGGGGCTAGTCCCAAGCCTGTGTGAGTCCAAGATACACTCCTTCAAATTCTTTAAAAGTTTTTTGAGACGGAGTCACACCCTGTCACCAGGCTGGAGTACAGTGGCATGATCTCGGCTCACTGCAGCCTCTGCCTCCTGGGTTCAAGCGATTCTCCTGCCTCAGCCTCCCGAGTAGCTGGGACTGCAGGTACATGCCACCACTCCCAGCTAATTTTTGTATTTTTAGTAGAGATGGGGCTTCACCATGTTGGCCAGGCTGGTCTTGATCTCTTGACCTCGTGATCTGCCTGCCTCAGCCTCCCAAAGTGCTGGGATTACAGGCATGAGCCGCCTCACCTGGCCTTTTTTTTTTTTTTTTTTTTTTTTTGGAGTCTCGCTCTGTTGCCCAGGCTAGAGTGCAATGAAGTGATCTCTGCTTACTGCAACCTCCACCTCCTGGGTTCAAGTGATTCTCCTGCCTCAGCCTCCTGAGTAGCTGGGATTATAAGCACCCACCACCACACCAGCTAATTTTCGTATTTTTAGTAGAGACGAGATTTCACCGTGTTGGCCAGGCTGGTCTTGAACTCCTGATCTCGGTTGGTCTTCCTGCCTCAGCCTCCCAAAATGCTGAGATTATAGGCCTGAGTCACCACACCTGGCCCATTCCCTCAAATTTTTCTGGGTGGTTCTTTCTCCGCTTCTGGTTGTTCCCTCACACGCATGTGTTCATGAATACTTCGAGTACCCGCAAAGTGAATATTCCCCATAGTTCTCTCTCTGCATTATCCTCTCCCCTCTCATACTTGGTCAGGAAGCCCCTGCTGCCAGGGCGCTCCATCCAGCTCCTCAGCTCAGGGAGTGTGCCAAACTCCACATGGGACGCCACCCCCACCACTGCCTGGGAGCACCCTCAAGATAGTGGGGCGTTCACAGAGCTCCCTGGATGTTCCCCGTCTCCCAGGACTCACCGTGTTTCACTTCCTCACATTCACTGTCTTGAAACCGTTGCTTTCGGTTAGAACCCTCCAGTGGGTTACACCCTGTGGAGAACTGGCCTGCAACCCATCAGAGGCTGAAGTGGAGTGTCTCATTATTATAGGAGAGAGGCTGGGACTGGCTGCACCTGCTATGCTTTTGCTTCTCCCTTAGTCCCTGGTTACCTCATTCCTTACTCTCCTGCCTCAGCAGCATGCTGCGTTCAGTGTGGGCTCCGATGAGCAGCAGCTGCACTGTCTCACCCACAGCATGTGGGTCCCATGCCTCTGTGGCCATGCCTTCTGTAAAGGAGGTGGCAGTCCTCCTGTGGAATGGCAGGTTTGCCAGCCTCGTGGCTCACGTGAAGTTCTGCTCTGAGTCCTACCTGTAAACCTGGCTGAGTAAAGGCAGCAAAATTGCTCAGCCCCCAGTGCCCAAAATGATACCCCAGCTCCACCTTGCCCAGGTCGGTTAGACTGCCAGCAATGGCATTTGGTCTCAAAGCCAAAGGCCCTGGGGGCAAGTCCTGCCTGTGACGATGCAGCTACCTCCCTGGGATGGAGGCCTGGGCTGCAGCAACCTTGGAGTCATGCCCAGATGTCCCAGCAAAGCTGTGCTGGCCGTTTCTGCTGTTTGTCTCTGAGCAGAGCTTGCCAGCAAGGCAGGGTAGGCCCCATGCCCCCTTGCTGGCCAGGTGGGGCCGCAGCTTTCACGGCTCTGATGCAGACTGGTGTACAGTCTGCTCCCCTGACCCAGGCCCACCCCGGGGTACCACTGACATTTCAGAATGTGTCTCAGGTGGGCTCCCCACATGCCAGGGGGCTTGCTCCCCAGTTGGCTTGGGGTGAGATAGTAAAGACCCCCTAGCAAAAGACTTTGCAGCCTCCGGGCTCTCCCCATTCACAGAACCACCCACAAAGCCTTTCCAAGCACCAGGAACTCAAGGCCTCATGCTCCTTCTCCCTCCCCAGGGAACATTTTTAACAGCTTCTGCTAGCCACGCCCCGTGTCCATGTCCATGTCAGTCCTGGAGGCCCTGACCCCCTCCACTGCCATGCAGTGCATCACCCCTAACAGCTGCTCACTGTTCCTGCGTGTATGCGCCTCCATCACCCTGCATGGTGAGAGGCGGCCTCGAGGGTGGGAGTGACACCTGGAGGTCAAGCAGTGGGCCCAGGTGCCTTTTATTCCCATCAAACCTTGGGCAGCCTGGTGGGGGACAGGGTGTTGCTCACCAAACTTCACGGAGAGGTGGAGGAATGGGGTCCCATGCCCCATCCAGACCCAGGGGTGGCCTGCTCTGACACACCCCGTGGGCCCCTCCTCCACCCAGAGCACCTGCAGGGCCTGGAGGCCTGCACCACAAGCCTGGACACCCAGGAGACACGGTGTCAGAGCGTGTGGGTGGCCAGGGCCTCCCACCAGCAGCAGGTGGGGCAGGAGGTGAGGCCAGTGCCGGGCTCTGACGTGGCAGCCCATCCCCAGGCTCTGCCACTCAAGTCCCAAAGACTGGGTTCCCCTCCTCCTGGGTGCTATCCCTTGCCCTGGGCTTGAGCCATGCAAGTGGAACTGGCTTGGTTGGGTGGGCAGTGCCAATGGGTCCACGCAGCTCACACCTGCACCTGCTCAGCTCACACCTGCACCTGCTCAGCTCACACCTGCACCTGCTCAGCTCCAGATGCATTTTGGCGGCTTTGAGGTGAGCGTGGCCCAGAACCTCTATGTCACCCTGAGAACCATCCCTCATTTCTGCAGGGTCCAGCTGGACCAGAGGCACCTCATGGAAGATAGAATCCCCAGGGCTTCCCTGGGCACAGCTGCCGTTCACCCTCCATGGCCTGGCCTGGGGTGGGACTTGCCCAGGGCAGGGGCCTGGACCTCATGCTGGGCAGATCCCTGCAAGGCCTTTGGCTTAATTAGAGGTCCGAGGTCGTATTGCAGAGGCATGGGGCGGGCGGGGGTGGGGGGCCGTGCAGTGAGAGCAGAGCAGCCCGCACCCCGCCATTGCCTCTGGGTTTTGCAGGCTGCGGAGAGGAGGACTTGGGGAGGAGCGTGCCCGACTGCCTCGGTGAATTCCCCCTTTCGACGCCCCTGGGAAGACGCCCGGACGCTGCGACAGGCTTCCTCTCCCTGGGGTCTTCTGCCCACTTGGGAAATCCTAAAGGGTCCTCAGGTGGGCGACTCCCAAACGCCTGAACCAAGCAGGAGCCGTCACGTCGGGGCTCTCGGGACAGACAGAGCCTAGTGTCGGTGACCGCTGGTCCGAGCACAACCCCGACTTGCCGCCCTCCTGCAGCCGGGAAGCTCAGCTACTGGGTGGACCGGAGGCGCAAGGCGATTCTGGTACAGGTGCCCCGGGCCTCAGGAAGCCGTTACTACTTTGTGCGGCTCTGCCTCAAGCTGTTCACCTGCAAGGACGTGGGCGCCCCCGTGCTAGTGAGCGCCCTCCGCCCGTGACTAGGCCCTGGCCCCGCTGAACCCAGGTCGCGCCCCGCCCCGCCCACCTCCCCGCGCCCCGCCCCGTTTGGCTCAGGCCCCGCCCACCTCCCCGCGCCCCGCCCCGCTTGGCCCAGGCCTCCCCAGACCGCCCCACCCGCCCGCCCGTGCAGCCCCTCAGCAGTCCTTCTGCGCTACAGGTGAACTCGAGTAGCGTCTCCCGGGCGGTCTCCTTGCCCTACAGCCAGGAGCTGCCATGCCTGTGCCTGGAGGTCGGTGGAGGTGTGGCCTGGACTTCGGGGTGGGTGGAGAAACAAAGAGATGAGCGGGCTGTCCTGACCCCAGTCCCTCCCGCAGGGCTGGTCTGCGACCCCTGACGCCGTGCGGACCCAGATCTGCCCCTTTGAAAACGGCAAGTGTCGTGCGATGCCAAGGGGCGGAAGGGTGGGAATGACTGCGGCCAGTCTGACACCACCATGAGGCATGACGTGGGGGGATGAGACAAGGGGCAGGCCCGGCCTAAACCCCTGAGCCTGCTTGGAAGGGCCTGTCACTAAGGGAACCTGAGCGCGGGTGTGGATGTGCACAAGTGTGTGTATGCACGCGTGTGCAATGTACCTGTGTGCACATGTGGACCAGCTCACCTGGGAAAACCAAGTTTGTCAAGAGGGGCTGTCTGAGGGCTGCCCTGCTCTCAGTTCTGCTCAGTGAGGCTGTATATACACACACACACATGCACACCCATACAGGTGCACATGCACGCCCATTCCCATGGACATGCACCCATGTACACACACATGCACTCATGCACATACACACCCATACACTGCATAGGCAGGCAAATCCATGCACAGGCACACACATACACATCCACGTGCACATGTGCAGAGACTTGGGTCAGAGCTCACAGACCATAGGAGGACTGCTCTGGACCCTGGCCCATGATCACTGTAGTGGGTGCTAGACCCCATGGGCCCACTGGCAGCCAGGGTAGGGCCCAACTGACCTGTGTTTGGGGGAGGGTTCCTGCAGACACTCAGGCCCTGGAGATGCTGTGGGACACAGTCTACTACCACCCTGGGAGCCAGACACTGAGCTGGGAGCCTGCCTGCCCTGTGAGTGGCCAAGTGAGCCTGTGCTGGTGCCCGCGGCCCGGGGACAGCTGCCATAAGCTGCAGCATTCCAGCCAGCTGGCGCATCGCAGAGTGAGTGCCCACAGGGCAGGGGTGGGTGTGGGCATGGATGTCACAGCCTGACCTGAGCCCTCCTCAGGTGCAGTACCTGCTGGTGGACACCCAGCCCCAGCTCTGCCTGAAGGTGAGGGGTTGCTGTGGCCTGCCACTGCCCTGCTTGGGGATGGGCCCGGGGCATGAGGGCAGGGAGTGGGGCAGGGGCCCTCGCCCAGCCTCTAGGCAGTCGCTCAGAACCCCCTCCTGGTCTGACAGTGGGTAAGCTAAGGGCCCAAGAAGGAGAACTGGGCCCAGAGCACCCTGAAGTTGGCCCAGCCTGTCTCTGCCCTGCACACTCTCCACCCACCCACACTCCTCACCCCGCTTTGCAGTTCTCCACCAGCTGGGGATCCTGGGTGCGGTGCCCTTTCAAACAGCGTCCCTTCCCAAGTAAGTTCTCCATGGGGCCTGTGCAGTGTGGACGTGGCATGGAACACCCTTCACTTCACTCTGTGTTGGATGGGGAGGCAGGACGACAGGGTTTGGGGCCAGTGTGGGGCACAGTGGGAGGGGGAGGTACAGTGGGTGGGTGCCGGGCCCACCGGGGAAGGAAGGGAGGCAGTGGGTGATGAGCCAGATGGGGTCTCACCCTTCACCCCCCGCAGCCTGGAAGATGACCATCCAGCCTTCACCCAGGCAGGGCCACCTCCGGGCCACCTTCTTCTCGTCCAGCCTGGCCCACTTCCAGGTGCACCTGTGTCACAGGAGGAGGTCACAGCTCCCAGCCTGCCAACCTGCACTCCAGGCCAGCCCACTTCCTCCAGCCTCAGTGAGCCGGACGGGTGGGGCTCTATCCTGGGGAGGTGGGGGTGGGTGTCAGGACCCCATCACTCCCCTGGGGGGCCTCTGCCCCACCTAGGCCCTGAGCCCACCTGGGGTCTATCCTACCTGGCAGGGAGGAGTGGGGGACCTGCTTTGTGGGTGCTGAGTGTGGTTCCTGGTCTGCCCTTCCTCCCATTGCCTGTGACTTGCCCTCCCCCACCCAGGCTGACCGTGAAGCTGTCCCTGCCATTGCCTTCCTGGACCTTCCCAGGGAGGAGGCCTGTGCCCCAGGCATCTGCATCCAGGTGGGTGTCACTGCTGTGCCCAGCCCCTACCCATCTCCTCCACTGCAGGATCTCAGTTCACACACCTCCACTTCCCATCCCCCATACCTCAGAAGCAGGGGAAGCAGGGGAAGCAGGAGGCCATGTTGAAGAGCTGCCTTATGCCTGTAGGACCTCAGTTCACACACACACACCCACTTCCCATCCCCCATACCTCGGGGAAGCAGGGGAAGCAGGAGGCCATGTTGAAGAGCTGCCTTATGCCTGCAGGACCTCAGTTCACACACCCCGCACTTCCCATCCCCCATACCTCGGGGAAGCAGGAGGCCATGTTGAAGAGCTGCCTTGTGCCTGCAGGGCTGGAGGACCGACGTGCACTTCTCCGTCCCACAGCAGCTCTGCAACCTCCACACCAGGGGGTGCCCAGCTTTCAGGGGCCGCAGGGGGTCGAAGACTGGACTCAGGCTCTCCCAACCTCCCTCGGCGGGCTGGGCATGGCGTGCACTGAACAGAAGACTGGGTGGGGGAGATGGGGAGACCACGCAGCCCTGAGTCAGGCTTCTGCACCAAGCCGAGGCCTGTGCCCACCACTGCCTTCCAGCCTCGAAGTTCCCTCTACCACACACAGCTGGCCTCCTGAATGCCCTCCCTGGCCTCGCTCCATCACTGGCCTGGCCTCCTCCCCCCTGGGGGTCCACCTCTCCTGATCAGAACTCTGATTCCAATGGCAAGCAACTTGGGATGTCCCTCTGCCCACCAGCCACCGAGGCCCAGGCTCCCAGGACCCAGGGCACATCAGGACAGGACTCTGCCCAGTGGACAGAACTAAGCACGTGTGTCCTGGGTGTGGTCAGGAGCTGGCCTTGGAGTCCAGGAAGGGTCAGAGCTGGCACTCCCACCTGCCCCCTCTCCCTGTGAGCTCAAGAGCTCCCCTAGCTTCAGGTGGGATGAACTGCAAGAGCCACAGAGGTGGGAGGGGAGGGCGGGGTGGATAGAACAGCTGGGCGCCCAGAGCCCCTGGAGACCCTTTCCAGGGAGCACCAGCGGCCCAGGCAGTGGTCTCTGGAATGTCCCCTCAGCTCAGCCAAGCCACAGCCATTTCAGGGCAGCCTGCAGCCTACTACCCCCCAGGATGACCCACACACCTTTATCTCCCCCTTCTCCCAGCAGGACTTTTTGGTCAAGCCTGGGTTCCCCCCCACCCCAGCAAAGATCACCTCCAGCAGATCACAGACCAAAGAGGTGATGGCCCCCTACTGGTCGAGTGTCCCTGGGGCTGGACCAGCCACTGTGGAGTGCCTGTGCTACGCTGGGAAGTCCACGGCCCCAGAGATCAGCCCTTGAGGCAGCCAAAGGGCTGGGCCTGGCTCAAGTGGGGGAATCTTGGCAGACCTGGGGGACACACATGCTGCTCTCGGGGTCAGGGTGGATCCCTCCTTCACTTGTCTGATGAGGGTCCCTACAGCCAGGAGGCTGATGTCCACAGCCACTGCCCTCCAGGACTGGGCAGCCCCTCCCCTTCCCCCACATTGTCTCAGCCTCCCACAGTGTAGGCAGGGCAGCGGGGGGTGCTCCACATCTCTCTCCAGCTGCACCCAATCCCTGGAACCACAGTCTGAGGTCAGGAATCTCCTTATGAACAAGTAGGTGCCAGTGCCACACTGCTGGGGGGCAGGAGGCCAAGGCGCAGCCCGGACAGCTGAGCCAGGCCCTGTCAGAGTGCGGGTGGTGTCACCTGACCGTGGGGCACAGGCACCTGCTGGCTCTCCTGGGGCTGCAGCTCACAGGGGCTCCGGGTCACATAGGAGACCTTCAGCCCTTTCCTGAGTCCCATGGGAACAGCAAGACCTGGATGGGCTGCCCCTTCCCCAGATGGCCAAGGTGCTGGCCCTGCCATGCTGGACCCCAGCCTCCCTCTCAGACAACTCATGGTCATGGCCACAGTCCCTGCCCCTGAAATCAAGGTCCTGGAGGCCTGGTAGCCGCCCAGAGCCTCGCCAGTGCTCCAGGGTGCAGGATGCAACCCATCCTTCCTGTAGCTGACCAGGCCCAAGGTGGTTGATGTGGGAAACCCCCAACACGAACACCGAGGAAGGAGAGCTGTGCAAACCCCAGGCACAATTGGTGCCTGAAGAATATCTTAGTTTATAGTGTTATTACTCAGCTATTTCCTTTATGTAATCCTTTATGTATAATCATATATTAGTTTATAGAATTAGTGCCTGAAGTATAACTTACTGCTTACATGTATCTAGCTTCTGTAATCATACTTAGTACTTACATCTAGCATACTTAGTTCTGTATAATATTTCTATATAATTACATAGGTATTATAGTTGGAGCTGTACTGACACATTTAGTGCTGATTTATAGAATCCTTCTATATAGCCATATAGTAGTTTATAGTAGGAGGAATGCCCAGAGCAGTCACAGAACAGAAGCAGTACATGGGAAAAGCCAGACCAGGACGAGAACCAAAGACCCAGGCAGTGACGTCCCTGCCTGAAAGGGCATATGCTGTATGGCAGGCTTGGAGCAAGAGCCTCTCCTCCTGATAAAGGAGCTGTAGTACCTTGCATCCAGTTCCTGTGGAAAGTAGGCCTCAGGCCTGAGATCCTGGAAGTAACTGAGGGAGAAGAATCCCTCTGGTGTGGCCAGTCACGGTGGCTGTACACCCTGTCAGTCTTTTCTCGCTTCTGTGCTAGCTCAAATCATCCTCCCATAAATATCTTAAGAGAAGAGCACACGTCTGTCAGCTCCTAGTGCATTGGCTTACAGTATCCTTCTATTAGAAACCCTTTGAGGTCTCCAGCCCCCAGATAAGAAGTGTTGTGCACGACATCTGCTGCACACAGTCCACCTCCTTGCCTTGGTGGCCTAATGGGCGCGGACCCCTTTTCTGTACACGACCCTCTACTACTACTCACGACCCACCTCTGCCCAGGTGACCTAATTGGGTGGCCCCTTACCTGTGAGTCACATGATTATGTATGCTCTATCACTAAGCCTATAGATGACCTCACCACCCTTCCCCCTGCTTGTACCTAATACAGACAGACGCTTCTGGACATTCAGGGCCTCGCCTGCCTCCACTCATAAGTGGCGTGGCCCTCAAGTCCAGATGCTCTTTTCCAGTCCTTCAGTGTCCTGTCTCTTCTTGGATCTTGCACCTCAGCACAGGATAAGGGACACCCCACGACCCTGTGGGGCCAATAGCCCTGCAGGTCAAGGATCACCCCAGCTTTTGCCCAGAGCACCCCCCACTGGCTGGAGTCACTTCTTCTGTCTGTGCACCTGAGTGCTGAACTTCACTGCAGCACCTGCCCTGCCTGGACCCCTCCAGAGGGTCTCAGCTTCCCCAGATCCCAGCCCCACTCATGCAGCAAGATTCCGCCACTTTCTGTGGCCTCAGAGGCTGCATGCCTGGGGGCCCTCTGCTGGGATGTGGCACATCCAGGCCCCAGCCAGGGGTCCCCAGCAGTGATCTGTGCAGTGGGCCATGCGGTCAGCCCTTGGAGAACTCCTGTGTGGGTCATGTCGCCACCGGGCTCCCCTGCTGAGCTGCCCTCTGGAGCCTAGACATTGTCTCACATGAGTGCTGTGCAGGGCCAGGTGCCTGGCCGGACAGACATACTCCCACTGCTGTCCAACCCAGGCTGCCCTCTTTCACCCGGCCACCGGTCGCTGGGCCTTCTTTTCCCTCCTGTGATGGAGGCTGCTATGCCCCACAGACTGGAGAAGGGACTGGAGGGCCAGTAAGTCCCCTCCCCTCAGTAAACACCGGCCCAGTGCCTGCCCCCATGGGCATGTGGGGGGTAGGGAACACCTTGGGACTCAGCTAGGACAGGGGCAGGGCATCCAGGAGTGGATTTGGGGTCAGCTAAGGTCAGTGTCACATGGTGTGACCAGACATTCCCATCCAAATGTCCCCATAAAGGAGCAGTGGTGGGGATGCCCTGGGGATGCAGAGGCCAGGCTGGGTGAGGGGCTTGAGAACCTGGGTTTGGACACCAGTGGCAGGGAGGCCAGTGGGGGGCATGGAGAGGGTGTCCCAGCTGCCCTCCCTAACCTGGAGGTCAGGGGCACTGGGTGGTGGGAGGGTGGACAGCACAGGTTGCGACTCTGCACTCTCCATGTCTCCTCTAGAGACCCCTGTCCACCCCTAGTCAGAAGACAAGTGTCCCGGCTCAGCAGGGCAGCCCCCGCCCCAGGTTCCTGCACCCAAGTCCTGGACAAGCCAGGGGTGCTACCTGTGATGCACGAAGACCGCTGCTCTGACCCAGGGCTATTCTGGGAATCCTGGCTGGCCTGGAGGTGGGGCTGGGGAGGATTTGCCAGCACAGGGTCATGGGGCTGAGCTCCTACCTGACCAGGTGTGGGCTCCCTCAAGCCTTTGCTGTAGCCCTGGCCCTCCCACACATGGGGGAAACTGAGTCTTTTGGGACTCTTAAGAGGCTGTGTTCAGATCTCAGCTGTCCCACCGTCCCTCCCAGACAGGGGAGGTACCTGCTGGAGGACACACACTGCTGCCAGCAAGCGGCGGTGGCACTCAGGGCCGGTGCTGAGCTGGATCAGCTGCCCCAGCAACCGACAGGGGGTGCCCACAGCCCGGCACACCCACCACCTCAGCCAGGGACGCTGCCCTCCCTCCACCACCCCTGCCGGAAACCTGCCCCCACATCTGCCAGCAGAAAAGTACTGAGGACGTCGGACCCCAGAAAGGGGGGTGCAGTAGGGGCGGGCAGGGGCACCTGCACCGGTGCACAGCCCTGCTCACATCTGGGCCACAGTGTAATGTGGGTGAGCCTTGGATGCCCGCCGGCCTCATTCACTCATCACACACAGCTGAGTGGGCCCTGGGCCCTGGGCACCGACCCAGTGCCAGGAACAAACACTGGCAAAGATCCCTGGACCTGCAGCTGGGGACCAAGTCTGGGGCTGCCTGGCACTAAGGACGGTCCAGACAATCTGGGATCAAAGAGCCTACCTTTGCATGGGGGAGACAACCACAGCCAGGTGACATAGTAAGTGTGGGGGGCTGCAGTGCCAGTGTGGGGTGAAGAATGAGGCTGGGAGGGCAATTGGGAGTGTGTGGAGCTGCAATCTAAAATAGGGTGGAGCCCGGCTCGGTGGCTCCCGCCTATAATTCCAGAACTTTGGGAGGCCAAGGCAGGTGGATCACTGGAGGTCAGGAGTTCAAGACCAGCCTGACCAACATGGTGAAGCCCTATCTCTATGAAAAATACAAAAGTTAGCTGGGCATTGTGGTGGGCACCTGTAATCCCAGCTACTCAGAAGGTGAGGCAGGAGAACTGCTTGAACCCAGAAGGCAGAGGTTGCAGTGAGCCAAGATCATGCCACTGCACTCAGCCTGGGTGGCTGAATGAGATGCCATCTCAAAAATAATAATAAACTAAAAATTAAAATGAAATAAAATAGGGTGGGGCCAGGCACAGTGTTGCACACCTGGAATCCCAGCACTTTTGGAGGCTGAGGCAGGAGGATTGTTTGAGCCTCGGAGTTGGAGGCTGCAGGGATCCATGATTGCATCACTGCACTCCAGCCTGGGTGACAGAGCAAGACCCTGTTTCAATAAATAAAATATAAAATTTCAAAAATAGGGTGGTCCCTGGAAGGCTCAGACAAGGTAAAGCGTGAACAGGGACTGCAGAGGCAGGGCCTTCGAGTGGCCAGGCTCTAACAGAATCCCTGACTGCCTCACAGAAGAGCAGCGAGAGTCAGCTTGTGGAGGGCAGGCAGGTGGGGAGAACTGCAGAAGCTGAGGCCATCAGGGTGTCCTGGCACGTGGGTGTGCATAAAAGAGACCAGTGTTGGCCAGGCGTGGTGGCTCAAGCCTGTAATCCCAGCACTTTGGGAGGCCAAGGTAGGTGGATCACGAGGTCAAGAGATCAAGACCATCCTGGTCAACATGGTGAAACCCTGTCTCTACTAAAAATACAAAAAATTAGCTGGGCATAGTGGCGTGTGCCTGTAGTCCCAGCTACTCAGGAGGCTGAGGCAGGAGAATTGCCTGAATTCAGGAGGCAGAGGTTGCAGTGAGACGAGATTGCGCCATTCCACTCCAGCCTGGGTAACAAGAGCAAAACTCCGTCTCAAAAAAAAAAAAAAAAGAAAAGACCAGTGTTTTGGTCTTAGCTCCTTGTGGACAAATTTGTGGATATTGTGGACAAGATTTTTTGTGTTCAAAAGACAGAACTCAAAGTGCATATCTGATTGATTCCTTTTGAAAGGCTAATCAAAAACTCGAAAGAATGCAGCTGCTTGTCTCCTACCTATCTATGACCCAGAAACTCCCTCCCTGCTTTGAGTGGTCCCACCTTTCTGGGCAGAACCAACGTCCATCTTATATGCACTGACTGATGTCTCATGTCTCCCTAAAATGTATAAAACCAAGCTGTGCCCTGACCACCTTGGGCACACGTTGTCAGGACCCTGAGGCTGTGTCATGGGCGTGCATCCTCAGCCTCGGCAAAATAAGCTTCCTGAATTGACCAAGGCTTGTCTCAGATACTTGGGGTCCACAGATAAATCTTTGTATATTGTATGCCCATTATCATAGATTGATAATCATTGTTTTATGAATCGGTCTTTTCAATCATGCAGAAAAAGCAGGAGTTACAAACCAAAACTATCATACCCCTTTATTTTATGTTTTCCTGTGTCGTTGCCTTTGCAAGTGCTTTCTTTCCGCACACGGCTGCACATTCCCGCTTCAGACCCTTCCATTTCAACCTGACAGGCGTCCTTTAGCATTTCTAGCAGCGCAGCTCTGCGAGTAATGAACTCCTGAGCACTTACGTTTTAATGTTTCCTTCATTTTTGAAGGCTAGTTTTATTGGACTTAGAATTCTTGGTTGACAGGTTTTTTTTCTTTCTTTCTTTCAGGACTTTAAATATGTTATACCATTGCCTTCTGGTCTCCAAGACTTCTGATGAGAAATCTGCTACAAATATTTTGATTAGTTGTTTCTGTCTTGTTGCTCTCTTTGTCCTTCTTTTTCTGACAGTTTGACAATAGTGTTTCTCACTGTGAATCTCTGAATTTTTCTGGCTTGGAGTTTTTTGAGATTCTGGGATATGCAGATTCATTTATTTCATCAAATTTGGAGAGATTGAGGCTATTACTCCTTCAGGTAATGTTCTTCCCTTTTCTATTTCTCTTTTCCTTTTGGAAATCCCGATGTGTGTGTTGGTACACGTGATGGTGTCCTGGGTCCCTCAGGTTATTTCATTTTTCTGCATTCTTTTCTTTCTGGTCTTCAGAGTGGATAATTCCAATTGCCTTATCTTCAGGCTCCCTGATCCTTTCTTTTGTGTGCACAAATCTTGCACTGAACCCCTCTAGTGAACACTTTTCTTTTCTTTTTTGAGACAGTCTCGCTATGTTGCCCAGGCTGCAGTGCAGAGCCATGAATGTGGGCTAGCAATCTTCCTACTTCAACTTCCCAAGTAGCTGGGACTATAGGCATGCATCACCATGCCTGGCTAATTTAAAAAAAAATTTTTTTTTTTTTTGTAAAGACAAGGTCTCACTATATTGCCCAGGCTGGTCTTGAACTCTTGGGCTCAGCATCCCAAAGTGATGGCATTACAGGCATGAGCCATCATGCCCAGCTGAATTCTTCATTTCTGTTACTTTGCTTTTTAGCTCCAGATTTTCTACTTGGTTCCCTTTTATAACTTATGTATATTATTGACATTGCCTCTTGGTTCACACCTTGTTCTCCTGATTTTCTTTAGCTCCATGTCCATATTTCCCTTTAGCTTATTGAATATATGTATTCTTTTTTTGAGACGGAGTCTCACCCAGTCTGGAGGGCAGTAGCGCTACCTCAGGTCACTGCAACCTGCTTCTCCTGGGTTCCTGAGAACCTGAAATCACAGGCACATGACACCACATCTGGCTAATTTTTGTATTTTTAGTAGAGACTATGTTTTGTATGTTTAGTAGAGACATAGTTTCACTATGTTGGCCAGACTGGTCTTGAACTCCTGACCTCAGGTGATCTGCCCTCCTCTCCCTCCCAAAGTGC